GCTCACCGGGAGAGTTCTGGTCTCGGTGTGGTACTTCATTTACCAATCTTCTGGTTATTGTTCATGGTTCATTTTGGCGCCGTCACGTCACGGATTTGAGGGCTGGGATTCTCAAGGGTGTCGACCTAAGGGGCAGTAGTGGAAACGGGTAACGTCAATGAGCAAAATGGAAGCGCTGGGCCCCCCTTCACCGGCGGCAAGTGGCCCATCAATCGAGGGAACACCGGAGGATCGGGCATGAGTATGCTTCATACAGCGCGATGTGGCCCACACTCACCGTTTCCTTGATCTTCGCCCTTCGGGCTTACGCTAATACCAGCTCTCGGCCATGTTCATTCTCGAGTACAGTGCTGATTACGATGTGATGGGAGCAAGCCACAAATACCAGTTTCCGTGCCCGTGTCCGTGTTGTTGGATTTTCCCGTGTGTGATGAGACTGAGACCGGCAGGGAGCCAAAACGACGTGGCCGCTCCTCGAACCCGCCTTGTCTTGTGCTGGCGGCCACTTGCGGGCTGAATTGGGACTAGAAAAGGACGGACGGGAGAGGAAACTAGGTCCATCCTTGAGCTGATACCATCTCTCGGTCTTCACGTAGTGACAAATCCATGGTAATGGGATTGTGATGACCGTTCCACGGCAAACCACTTTGAACAATAGTATTCCTCCCTACGAGTCCGGGCCTATTTTTTCAGCCCCTTGCTTCACATGCCAGCCTTGGATGTACGAACTATTGTCTTACAAGTAACATGTGTGTATCTCTGTCGTTTTCGCTTACGAGCGGGTCAAATTGCGATATTGGTGAATGGCTCATCCTGTTACATGCGATTGACGCAGGCTGCAAGTCCCAGGAGGTAAACGATCCCCCCCGCACCCCCAAGCTCGGTTCGCGGAGTCGCGATGCAGGCAGAGGGGAGGACATCTTCTTGTTTTCTTCTCCTCGGCCGTTTCGCCTTGTCGCTTATCCAGAGTAAACTAAACCTGAGTCGCCGGCGTCTCCGAGCGACAATCACGTCCGGCATGTAGAATAGGGTTACAGCCTTGCGTTGTACCGAGGCATGTATTGATCACATCTCGGTCACCACCTCCGTTTTGAATCAGGAGGCGTTATCTCTTTACGGGCGTATAATTACACTCACCGAAGCTGCCATAAGCACTAAAAGTTGATGCCACCAAACTATCCAAATTACGGCTCGAAAAATCTCACCAATATTGCCCTCCTCCTCTCTTCGGGGGTTTGTAATGCGCGATTAACACACCCTCAAAGATCAAATCCTTGGGAACAGACGTATGAGCTTCGCCCCAATTCAGACATTGGTGTGTGTGTGAGTGTGTGTGTGTAGCTCCCACCTAGCATCAACCAGCGCACAGAGATGACCTCAGCCTCAGGACGTAGGCCTGCTGCAAGGCACCAGAAGAGGCAGCTTTTCAGGAGTAAGAATATAGAGCAAAATAAATCAAGTATTGAGGAGAGATATTTCCGCAATGCTGCGTGTTATTACATGACGTAGTTTTTTTAAATGCTGTTTGGTTTTTTGAGGGAGAAACCCCCTTGTTATCATGAATGATTTTGTATTGATGTTTGAGGGGATAGTCTGACACCTGAAGAGTGAGGCCGCAGGAGCTGGGACGTATGGTAAAGGGGTGGCATACTGCATTTCATGTAGGGACTTTCCTTGAACTGCAGGTGTCTTGATGCGGCAAAGGGAGCGGTGGGGGCTAGAAATACTACTTGGAGGAGGAGCTGAAGGGGCAGAATGAAGTTTTGCATGGTTGGGCGAAGGCTTTTCCCCTCACGATTGCGATTTTGTGTTCCAGTGTGCGCAGCTTTGGACACAGGGTGGGAGATATGCTCGCTGCAGGCATTCTCGTGCTGTTCAAGGCGAGTCCTGCGTTTGTTTCTCCTCCCTCGCTTACTCGGCGATGTTTGAGCCGAGCTAGGTCTTTCCCTTTTTTTTTTTCCCCACGCCTCGGTCGTTGGAATTGGCCGCGGGCATTGGCTTCATCGATATCGGGTACACGACATACTCGGCCAAAGTTGCCTTTTCTGTCTGGAATGCAGAAGGAGTGAATCACGATCGGTGGATTTGGGGGATTTTAGTGAGGTGTAACAGCAAGAAGTTCTGGGGGTTGGAGTGAGGCGTTGATCTAACGGGAGTCCACGACAGGTCTGGTGTTATAGTCGTACCATATGTAGGTTGCTGTCCGATGGTGGACACCCACTCCCCTGAACATGGGAATGGAAATGGGTGTCCATTTCTGTACTCATACACGGTCATCTCTAGAGGCTGTAGAGCCGGAGTAGAAGAGATGAGGTGCATGCTTGGTCCTCGGGGTTTCCGCATCACCGATAAAGCAATAGTCCGACGTCGAGGAACGCTTATGCTCCAGGCAGGCCATCCTCATCATAACCTTCTTCCGAGGCAGTCATACGCGCTCTCAGGTCCGAGAGACGGTCAAGGAGCAACTCGTGGGCATCCCAGCTACGTTAGTTTTGGAGACCTCCGCAATCGGTGGGATGATGCTGGACCCAATATGTGCGTTTTCTCTGCCAGTGGTCTGGAGGGGATATCGTAGGCGCTGCGGTGTTCATGGGAGTGATCCTATGTGTTCTTAACGCCCGGAGCGGAGGAAGAAAATAGTAAAATGACTAGCTAGCCAAGCAGTTTCTTGAACATGATGTGTAGCAAAGAAGATGTGATGATTCGCTGCGATATGGGCGGCCCTCGATGAGTGTTTCCAGCTTCGGTTTCCCCTTTTCTATCTTCTAGGTTTCATCCTCTTTGCTTCGCACTCCGTAAAGAAATCGATCCACGGTTTTGAAGCCACACGCTCGCCACTCCTGACCTTGCACTACCAATTGACGATGGTGTTCGATAGATAATACAACACCCCGGCGGAATCAAGGAAACTGCAAAAAAGAGGGTGAAACTTTACTTCAAACGATCGAGATGTACACAGGTAATCGCGAGAGATTCCAAAGAGGTTGGTAACCAGAACATCCCTTCCCCAAGCCCTCTTAAAATTATCCGACGCGTACGGCACGGAAAGCCTAGACCCAACTTGCCAAAATGTCTCACTCACCTCGATTTCGAAATCTCAGGCAGACGCAAGCAAAAAGAGAACGGCTGACTCCAAGGAATGGATGACTGATTCGAAGCGACATCCTTCGCGGTCTTCTCAGGTTAGCTGCTAGGTACTACTACATCCTCTTCTCGCTTTCCCTTCTCTGATGGTAACCCGTCGTTCCCATATCACAGCCGTCAGGCGGTACATGCCGGCTCAGAGCCGGAATCATGTCGTTCACTTCGGCGATCATAAAGGCCTTGAAGAACCTAGGCTTACGAAGGCCCCGCCCCGAGATAACGACGTTGTCACGAAAACGCAAGGTTTGCAGTCGCCAACCTACTTTCCTATCCTTCGGCGGGCGTGGATAAGATTGGAGGCTATGCCGCCAATTGGTGACCCATTAAGCGTTGAGAGTGAGGATGATAATCAATTGCGGCCAAGGGGCATAATACTTCGAAGCTGAGAGCAAGGGCTCCCCGGCAATCAAGTTCGAAACTCGATCAAAGAAGTTCTCAAAGATAAGACCGTTGCCGCATATGAAGACGGAGTCATAGGGAAGAGAAAAAGGAGAGGGGATAAAGGGAAAAAAAAAAAAAAAAAAAAAAAGACCAAAAGCTCGCTCGGGGTTCGCTCCCAGGATCGAATCCTGGTTGCTTGCCGCGAGCTACGAAAATTGAAATTTTTCTAACCTTCTGAGCGCTCCAATGACCACTTGGCCATTGGTCGCAGTGTCGCCACTGCTTGAGCTGCTCGGTTGGAAGTTCTTGCCGTAGCCTCATATATAAAGCATATGACCGCGGCCGAGTGCGAACGAGGAAGGTGCGGAAGGCGCTCTTTCCTAAGATACTTCCTTTGTATTTAGAAAACGTACGCGGGTCCATAAACTGCCAATAAAACGAGTGTCAGCGGCCACTTGACTCGGAACGCAACTGTTAGGTCTTGATGAGAGTGGGTAGAGTGGGTTTGTGTGCTTATACAAGGAGGCTAGGACAGCCTCATGGATTATAGGGAGATGGAAAGGTCCGCCTGTCGACTTGAGATAGCGATATCTGTATGATAACGGAAAGGCTACATTGGCTCAGATACTATATATATGGGCTTCTCCTGCTCTGTCTGCCAAGATGTTGATGGGGACGGGCCGGTGAGCTGAGAATGTGCACTGGCCCCTCTTGCTCATCGGTTGTATCGTGTAGTTTAGGCATACGTGATGGAGTCCTCGGGGACCTGAACTATGTGTCTCCCAACGCAGGGACTCGTATTCACAAAGTTGAATGAAGTGGACGCGAGCGTCACCACATCTACGCCGGAGCCTGCTGGCGAATATCTCCATGAGAGAGGTTCAGGAAACTCCCACGAAGTGAGGGTCCGTCTTTGAAGAATACCTAGTTTTAATAGGATTGATAGGAGAGAGACGAGTAGAAGTAAAGATTGAACTGAGGTTTCAGGGCTCGGAGCCAACTGCAAGATGGCTCGTGAAGTGTATTATCCTCTGCTATCCTACGCTATCCTGCGCTACCCGGCTGTTTCTAGCTTCAAAGTGTATTACGGATTTCATCCTAGTTGCAGGAGCGGAGTGAAGCCCGTCTTTGCCAGTGGATTCATGGATCGTGATGCTTGCGAGCCTTCGCATGACGTTGAGGAGGCTTGAAGGAGAGACTGTCTATGCCGTTCTCTGATTGGGCGATTCAGGGCCCGCTCTCGGAAAATTAGTTTTGCCGATAGAGCTCTGGGAAGCAGTTGGAAGGTGTGGAGAGTCTTGGCATTTGTGCCCCTCGTCTTCTGAATTTTTTGGTGGATTTGATGACAATTCTGGCTGCCTGCCTTGTGAAGCTTCAGTTGCTCCCCCCCGCTACCTACTCACCGACGAAACGTGTCTACACTTAATCCCATCCGATATATCTAATATTTTCTATCGCCAACAGGATTGCCCAAGATGCAGGCTCCTGTAGTGGTTATGAGTACGTTTGCTCCCCCACCATGGCCCCTATCGACCTGCCCCCCCTTGCCCCTCGCCGTCAGATTGTTCGTGGGATTGCGGGCAACCGAACTCTGGACAACCCTTGCTAACGAGACATATCTAGACACCCAGTCGGGTGAGAGGCAGACTGGCCGCAAGGCTCAGCTGTCCAACATTACTGCGGCGAAGATGTATGTTCTATTCCTCGAGCCCCGCAGCTTTCTCCTCTCCCTTCTCGTCCTCTAACTTTGCCACTCTAGCGTCGCCGACATCATCCGCTCGTGTCTCGGCCCCAAGGCCATGTTGAAGATGCTACTCGATCCGATGGGCGGAATAGTTCTTACCAACGATGGCCATGCCATTCTACGAGAGATTGAGGTGTCTCACCCTGCGGCGAAGAGCATGATCGAGCTCAGCCGGACTCAGGATGAGGAGGTTGGAGATGGTACTACAACAGTTATTATTCTTGGTATGCGATACCTGCACTCTTCTCGTCTTTTTTTGCCCTTCATTTCTCGGACAGAGGTACTAACAGGGTACAGCCGGAGAGATACTAGCCATGGCCCTTCCCGAACTCGAGCGAAACATCCACCCCGTCATGATTATACAAGCCTTCAAGAGGGCGCTAACAGACGCTCTCGAAATCGTCGACGACATCTCCCTCCCCATCGATATCAACAACGACAAGGCCATGTACCGCCTCATCAACTCCTCTATCGGCACTAAATTCGTCTCGAGGTGGTCGCAGCTCATGTGCGACCTAGCCCTAAAGGCGGTACGGACCGTAACGTGGGAGGTTGGTAACGGCAAAAAGGAGGTCGATATTAAGCGGTATGCCCGTATAGAAAAGGTTCCCGGTGGCGAGATCGAGGACAGCAGGGTGCTAGACGGTGTCATGCTCAACAAGGATATTACCCACCCTAAGATGCGAAGGAGGATAGAAAACCCCAGGATCGTGCTCCTAGACTGTCCTCTCGAGTACAAGAAGGGAGAGTCGCAAACTAATATCGAGATCTCCAAAGAGGAGGACTGGAACCGCATTCTTCAGATTGAGGAGGAGCAGGTGAAGGCCATGTGCGATGCTATCCTCGCCTTGAAGCCTGACCTGGTCATCACTGAGAAGGGTGTATCAGGTACGTTTCTCCCATGCTTCTACGATAGCCCTCTCCCGGTCTACTCCAAGTGCCGTCCTATTACTAACATACATGTCCTCTGATAGATCTGGCTCAGCACTATTTGGTCAAGGCCAACGTTACGGCTCTGCGCCGAGTCCGAAAGACCGACAACAACCGTATCGCTCGAGCCACCGGCGCGACTATTGTGAATCGAGTTGATGACCTTCAGGAGTCAGATGTCGGTACTGGCTGCGGCCTCTTCGAGATTGAGAAGATTGGCGACGAGTACTTCACTTTCCTCACCAAATGCAAGGACCCCAAGGCCTGCACCATCCTCCTACGGGGTCCTTCTAAGGATGTTCTCAACGAAATTGAGCGAAACCTTCACGACGCCATGGGCGTTGCGAGGAACGTCATGTTCCACCCCAGTCTTGCGCCCGGTGGTGGAGCTACGGAGATGGCTGTCTCCGTGCGTCTTCGAGAGCTCTCCAAGGGCATCGAGGGTGTGCAGCAGTGGCCTTACAGGGCCGTCGCGGAGGCCTTGGAGGTCATCCCTCGCACGCTCATTCAGAACGCGGGTAAGAGCCCGGTACGAGTCCTTACCGATCTGCGGGCCAAGCATGCAGAGGGCCACCACACGTGGGGCATCAACGGTGATTCGGGTACGATTGCGGACATGAAGGAGTACGGTGTCTGGGAGCCGGAGGCCATCAAGCTTCAAAGCCTAAAGACAGCTATCGAGGTAAGTATTCACATTTTTACCACAACCTTTCTATCCCATGCCACAGAGCCGTTCTTGCCGTTTTGCCTTTTTTATTGGCGAACTATTTGTCATTATCTTACAGGAATGTAACGTTGAAGCTAACGACTGGACCATAGGCCGCATGCCTCTTACTGCGTGTCGATGATATCTGCAGCGCCAAGAAGGTCCAACATGCCGGCCCGACGGGCGGGGGAGGAGACGAGTAAGAAAAAAGTGCGGGAGAAGTAAAGGGAACAGAGCACGTGAGTGACTCGAACAAAAAAAGGAATGGATCTAAAGATAGTCAGCGGGAAGGACCCGAATCGTCGGGGAAAGATACGTTGTATGTTTTGCGCTCGAATACCCCTGTACCGGCCGACGCATGAACGGTTGCCCAAATAGAGATGGTAGGGTCAGAGTTTACAGGAAAGAAAAAGGTAGAAATATTAAGAAAAAGAAAAACCCAAATAGATGTGAATCCATTGGCGCCCAACGGCTCGTGGTACTCGCCGATTGTTCATCAGGCTGGCGCCAGTGAGAAACTGAGAAACTTTTCCGCGGGTCCGTAGAATGTGAAGGCAGGACTCGGGCCCAAACACTCGATAGTCTCCGTAATGAAGAATCAATCATCATCATGGATGACTAGGCCTTCGGTCTCCACCTCCGCCGAATGGTCGTCCTTTTTGGTATTGGTGCCCGACGAGGGAGCAGTCGGTACGTTGCTGTTATTGTTCGCATGCGGCGCGTCGACTCGAACATCCTCCAAAACGCTGGCAGCCCCATTCGCGCCCCCCGCCGCGTCGTCTGAATCCGGCCTCTTACTCCCCGCAGCCTTGGCGACAGCGCGCGCCTTCGCCTTCCTCGCCTTCATCTTCTCCCTCTTCTCCCTATTCTTCCTCGTCTTCTCGTCATCCTTCTCCTCCCTAGCCCTCCTCTCCCTCTCGAAATCCTCATGCTCCTTCTCCTTCCTGGCCTCCTCGTCCATCCTCCTCAACCTATCAGCCTCCCTCCTCCTGGCCGCCTTGTAGACGTGGAATTCGCCCGAGCCGGCGCCGGCGCTGGAACCTTGGACATTGGTGACGATGTCGGGGGGTAAAGGGGCGGCGCGCGGCTGAGGGCGCTCGGTGCGGATTTCTTGGTCGGGACGGGCGAAGAGGGCGTTGAGGGTGGCGGCTTGGGTTGAGGTTGGGGTTAGGGCGCGTTTTTTGGCGGGACGCTTGGAGATGCGGTCTTGGGAGGTGGGGATGGATTCGGGGCCGCCCGCGGACATTGTGTGGGAGTCGTAGTGCAGTGAAGCAACTTTACTTTTCTTCGGCTGTTGGCTTTCGATTAATGTGGGGGAAAGGGGAGATCCGAAAGGCGGGGGTTCGGGGCGAGGCGCTGAGGCGAAACTTTGGTTGTCTAGCTGTTTCTCAGCTGACCGCGGAGCAATGCGGTCACTGTGCTTGGGATGTTGTTTGATGATGTCCGTCACGAGCTGTAAAAAGTCCGGGGTCACAAGATCGGGGATTGGAATTTCGTATGATGATGCGCGCCGTCGTAACTCTTGGGTCATGAAGTCGAAAGTGGAGTGTCTCATCAAATGACCTTGCCGCGCTGGAGATGATGCGTGGTGATCAATTTGATGACGCTTTTTTCTTCCGTTATTTTTCCTTCAGCCTCGAGCTGTGTTTGGTTTAATTGTTTGCCCCCCTGTGACGCCCCGCCATTTTGGTTGGCAGAGAAGCCAACGTCGAACTTGCCAGGCTAAAAGTACAAATGGGTACCTTTACGTGTGAGTCAGGCTTAGTTCAGCAGCGTGGAAGGTTCTTTGCTACTTTGCTCGACTTGGCCAGGCTCTAATCCTCAATTCACCTACAGGTCGTCCGCCCCAAGTTTCAACGACTGCCCCTCCCTTTTTCCAGAATTGCACTTTTGAGCATGGAAGCATGGTAATAATTGTACTAGTAGCGCCAGGCCCCGGGCTGCACTCCACTGAGTGTACGGAGTAGGCTGCGAAATCGGCGTCATGCGCCGTCCTCGAGCACCTTGATGCCCAGCAGATCGGACGGACAGACAAACTGAATCTGGACTGAGATGCAGTAGGGGCAGAGCGAGCCCATTTGAGCAGGCTGGCATTACTAATATTGGTAATTCTCTGAAGCTCTCCATCAATTCCATTATTAATTCCAGAAATCCAGAAATCCAGAAGCCAGACCACTCTTAGAGTTCTAGAACGTAAAAACGCTTCCTTACCCTCGGCCCATATGACTGCACACAAGCGCCGCCCCATCTGTGTTGGGGCGGGCTCCACCGATTGGATCAGTTTGCCGCCCTCCATCCAGGGCGAACATTGCCCGACTGTGAGAGCTCTTGGAGTTGATAGGATGATTCAGAGTTCAGGACGGCGTTGGTAGGGTTGCTTGGAACATGCCAAGTTTCGGTCTAGTGGCTGCGCCAACTCGTCCCTTTTCACATTCATTCCTGGTATGGATCTGCCAATCTGGAGGATATTGATCCCTGTCTGCTGTTGTGTCGACTCCATCTCATCGTACGGCAAATGCTCAGAATGATGCAGGAAGTGGTTGCAGCCAGGCCTGGAGCTGATTCCCTTCAGGAAGGCGCTGGCCTATGGCGGCCGACGTGGCGCCCGGGGCCGCAAGGGGGGGCAGCATTGCCTCGCTAGACACCCTCGGCTCTCGTGTAGTTTCCTGTCGTCTGCTGTACAAGGAGGTTAGTTCGCTTCGAAGCTTATCGGCTGAGAAAGTCTTGGCCATCGGCGCACTCTGAGAGGATGATGATGCGGCAGGTTCGACTTGTTCTATTCGAGGTCCGCCTTAATAATGCAAAACCTCCGACCGAGGGAAGGTGCAGTGCAGCGAACCAGGGGTAGAAGAAATTCAACGAAAAATCGAGTCACATTTTGGCACTGTTGATCTAAACCTACATCTACCTTCGTACTTCATCACCTCGCACCTCTCACATCACACCTCTCCATCAACTAAACTAAACTCCAACTCGTCCTTTCACGAACTTGAGCCCAGATCTCGCTCGTACCACCACCTTGTGATATCCCATTAAACTCCACCAAAGTGATCAGCCACACGCCATTGCGGTCGACACTTTCATTGGCTCAGTCCAGGCTACATCTCAAACGTCTCACGGATTCCTGCTGAGCACCGAGCAATTGATTCAATCAGATCCGATCCCAACGATACGATACCTCACCCATTTCAGGAACGAATTACTTGAAACATATTACAATTCGTCCCATATTCGCCTCCCACCCAGAACAACAACCCCTCCAAAGCCGGGTTCTCTCAGCCAAAACGTCGCCGGCGTCATACTTCCCAATTCTTGTTTCATTGGGGAAGTCCAAAAACGTTTAGCTCCAGCTCAAACAACGTTCTCGATTGTTCCTGGTTTATTTTTTAACCCTTAAGCCTCCCCTCTTCCCCTCCAAACCCGAAACCTTGGTTCGACGGTTAGATTTTGTCGACTACACCACTACTCTCCACCAATTCACAACTATTATACGACGACTACGAATCGAACACCATGGCTAAGCCGCGCCTGATTATCGTCATTAGACATGCCCAGTCAGAAGGCAACAGTACGCACAACACCTTCCCTTACCAATTGCCCGTTTTCTTTTGCGCCTGCCCTCCTCGACCGGCCCATGTCTGGATGCATTTCCCCCCGAGTTCGGCATCCATCGGCGGCAGTGAGCGCTAGTTTTCAGGCTCCCCAGACTACCGTCCCTATGCTGCCTCATCTTCAATTTAGCCCTCTTCATCGCTACGAGAGAACTTGAACTAACTAGCTATTCACCTACTCAGAAAACCGAGACATTCACCAGACCATCCCAGATCACCGTGTCAAGCTCACACCGCTCGGATGGCAACAAGCACACGAAGCGGGCCGTCGCCTGCGGTCCATGCTTAAACCGACCGATACCCTCCACTTCTTCACATCCCCCTACCGACGAACTCGAGAGACGACCGAGGGTATCCTCGAGACTTTGACGGGTGAGGATGAGAGCGAGGAGCCGAGCCCTTGGAAGCGCGAGAATATCAAAGTCTATGAGGAGCCCCGTCTCCGAGAACAGGACTTCGGGAACTTCCAGCCCTGCAGCGCTGAGATGGAGCGCATGTGGCAGGAGAGGGCCGACTATGGTCACTTCTTCTACAGAATTCCCAACGGAGAGAGCGCTGCTGATGCGTACGACCGAATCAGTGGCTTTAACGAGTCCTTGTGGCGCCAGTTTGGCGAAGATGACTTTGCCAGCGTTTGCGTACTTGGTTCGTCGTTCCCTCCCCCTTCACCAATATATGCTAGACCCCAACATAGTACTAACCCTCGCCTTCAGTTACCCATGGCCTCATGTCTCGCGTTTTCCTAATGAAGTGGTACCATTTCACCGTCGAGCATTTTGAAGACCTTCGAAACATCAATCACTGCGAGTTTCTCATAATGCGAAAGATCGAGGAGACCGGCAAGTACCTACTAGAAAACAAGCTACGCACATGGTCGGAACTACGGCGAGAGCGCCTAGAGCAGCTTGAATCGGGGACACAGGCCAACAAAGATGCCGCAAAGCTCACCCGCACAAAAACTTTTGTTTCTCTTCGTCGATGGGGAGGTTGTCCGCATGGTTGCGACCACCGGAGGGAATACAAGAGACGTGAGGACCTCGAAACCCTTCGCTTACGAGACGAGGCTGGTGCAAACGGCGCTAACGGTACGAACGGTACGAACGGCCACAGCAACGGAACTAACGGAAACACCAGCGGGAATTCCTCCTCGACTTTGATGACCATTAGCACTCGCCGCCACATCACAAAGCAGCAGCGCTCCGTGCAGATCCAAGACAGTACCACAACAGTTGCCAGTGGCCCTCAAATCGACATCACCAAGGCCCTCGAGGAGCTGGACTCCTCCTCGCCAGATGCAACACCTTCCTTCATCTCCGCCGAAGACCGCCTTCGTAGCCTCAGGTCTCCTCATCTCCACATCGGACGTGACGGCGGCGGCACTTACTCGGGCCACGCCTCGCTCAGCGGTAGCGACGACGAGCTGTCCGCGGACGAGGAAGGCCGCCGACCGGGAAGCAGCGGGCTGGGCAGCCTTGCGGCGCGCATCCACAGCACCTCGCACAGCAGCAAGGTCCGAATTCGCCACGTCGACGCGGAAGCCGACGACGACGAGGCCGATCGAAAAAAACGTGTGTACCTCGACGAGAGCGGAATGGGCCGTGGCGCAATGGCTAACCGATTGGGCGATCATAGCCACAGCAGCAGTGATGTTGGCTCGGACGTGGGGTCTCCGGACACGAGGCCCGGGGACGCCCTCGCGTCGCCTCTCAACGAGGACGAGCTTACCCGCCTGGAAAAGGAAGAGAAGAGTGTCCAAGGGAGCGTTTATTAAGACCACTCTCCTTTGCGGTCTCCTTCGTTCCTGAGGATACTCGTTCTCAAAAAGACCCCCTTTTGATATTATTCTCTTATCATGAACCCTCTGCGCCACAGGTTATTGGGCAGAGACACACAGCGGAAATGACCTTGCAGCTATATCTTTGCCTCGCCCCGATGCCCTTTAGTTCCCTTGCTTTTTGCTCCCCCCCTCCAACCTTTCCTCAACTTCTCAACCCCTTTGCTTTCTTCTCTTTCTCCACTGGGCTGTTGAGAAATGCCAAATTGTTTCCCATCGTCGACATACAAAAGGATGAAAAGTATGGTTATGATTTCTTGATTGTCTTGATTTTCTTTTTCCTCTTATGCCTAATTAGTTGACTGCTTATTTGCTTGTTGGAGGATATACCTAGATGGGAACACGCATGCATACAAAACCCATAGATTGGACTGATATCTCATTTCATTTCATATATATACATAAGTCATGACTGCCGTTGACTTGCATAAGGCAGTCTGAGAGAGGGCTGGTATCCATCTTCATGATTAACTACCTCTTGCCCAATATCATTGATTTTTGATTTCATAGCACACGTTTCAATGGCACGAGAAAACGGGTTTTCATATGAATTGGACAGATCTTGTTTTCGATACCAGGCGGGCTGGTTGGCATGCTGGTTTCCTGTGAGAGGAGGCTTGCTTTTCTTGAGATTGGAGTGATGATGAATATAAGACGTTTTAGATACGTTCCTGTCAACGAAACATGAAATGTGCTCTTTTGACTTGCTTGGAGTTTGTAGATCGTAGATGTTTCTTCGAGTTGTTGAGGAGAATAGGACTTGTGAAGCCGTCTCGGAATGTCGCACGAGAGTCCTCGCAATCAAATACGAACTACGAAGAAAGCCGAACCTGGGCTATCCAGCAATCAATCCTTCAAGACACTGCTGCATGGGGAAAAGGCGGATGTCTTTCCCTTTTCCCGAATCACCTCCACGCCCCTGAGCCATCCCCAAACCCGAATGTCTCTAATCCCCACACAAGCGATCGATACGCCCCCCGCATCCCTACAGCCCTACAGCCTTTCCCCGGACGGGACGCTATAATTATGGTCCTCGCCGCGTCTCGCCACCCGCAACAACGCACCGCTTCGACTTACACCTCAACTCGTTATAGGCACATCACCATCAAAACTCTTACAACCGGCACAAAAATTCAAAGCGGAACAAAAAAAAGACTTATACGAAACTTACAAAGTTTTCAAACTCCCCGGAGATAGCAAGCTAGAAGCTGGTATTTCATGGTGGTAGCAGGATCGGACGAGACTAGATCGCGTCCCACTCTCGATGGTCTTTGTGTACCCGCAATACGAAGTGCGGAACCGCCTTTCCAACGGCACAAAAGACCACGACTAAACGCGCGCTCCGGGCAAGCGGAAACGTAGGTGTATCCACACCAGTTCGCAAGTAGAAGTAAGGAGAAGCTACTCTTTATACCCCATAATCTGCGGTCAGGGGCCAGTTGGTGAGGACCAGCGGCGGTGCCTGGCATACACTCGATCATCATCTCACACGTGCCATTTACTCAAATCACGTCAGTACACGTCTATCAATCACATTCCCTGGCAGATGTAGTGCGGAGAGAAAACTTGTGTAACCAAAAAATTGATTCATTTCATAGTTGGGGGAATTAGTACAGACTAGTTCATACGCTACATAATATCATTTTGCTCCCGCCCATAATACCCTGACATTCCCTATCCCTTCCTTTAGTGGGGGAAAGGCTTTCCGAGGTGCACAGTGATGGACTTGGTCTCGGTGTAGTTCGCGAGCGCGGCCTCGCCCAACTCTCGCCCAATACCGGACTCCTTGAAACCACCGAAGGGAACCTGGTACGACAAGATGTTGTAGCAGTTGATCCAGACGGTACCGGCCTTGAGGGCGTTGGACACCTTGATGGCGGTGGTGATGTTCTTGGTGTGCACGGCAGCAGCAAGGCCGTAGGAGGTGTCGTTGGCGAGGTGGATGACCTCCTCGGCATCCTTGAATTTGGCAATGGCGCAGACAGGGCCGAAGATCTCTTCCCTCATGATCTTCATGTCAGGGCGGACATTGCTGAAGATGGTGGGCTTAATGAAGTAGCCCTTGTCACCAAGACGCTCACCACCAGTTTCGACGGTGGCACCCTCCTCCTTACCGCTCTTGATGTATCCCATAATACGGTCGAACTGGAGCTGCGAGACCTGGGGACCCTGGAAGATGGTTTCGTCGAAGGGGTTACCAACTGTAGTCCTCTCAGCCCTAGCCTTGAATGCAGCGAGGAACTTGTCATAAACACCCTCCTGGACGAAGATACGGGTTCCGGCACAGCAGCACTGGCCGTGGTTGTAGTAGATACCAAAGTTGACCCACTCAATGGCGTGCTCAATGTCAGCATCGTCGAAAATGATGTTGGGAGACTTGCCACCAAGCTCGAGAGTGACCTTCTTGAGGTTGGAGTCGGCAGCGGCCTTCATGATGGTGCGGCCAACAGCGGTGGAGCCGGTGAAGGCAACCTTGTTGATGTCCATGTGGGAGGCAATGGCAGCACCAGCAGTCTTGCCGAAACCGGAAATAATGTTGAGAACACCAGGAGGGAAGCCAGCCTCCTTGACGAACTGGGCGAACACAAGGGCGGAGAGAGGGGTCTGCTCGGCAGTCTTCATGACGACGGTGTTACCGGTCGCCAAGGCAGGACCAATCTTCCACGCAAGCATGAGAAGAGGGAAGTTCCAGGGAATGATCTGACCACAGACACCAATCTGGAAGGCCTAGTTAGCAACTTTTGTAACACGGAAATGAGAAATAGTAAGTGCAGTGTTCGGAATAGAACGTACAGGCTCCTGTCGAGTGTAGTTCAGCATATCAGGGGCGACATCAATAGTCTTGCCCTCGACCTTGTCGGCCCATCCACCGTAGTAACGGATGGTTCCAACTACAGCACCCACGTCACCCCTGGCATTGGTAATGGACTTGCCGTTATCGAGCGACTCGACGGCGGCAAGGAGATCCTGGTTCGCCTCAAGGAGATCGGCGAGCTTGAGAAGTAGTCTTCCACGCTCGTGGGGGGTAGTCTCGCTCCAGACACCGTTGAAAGCCGCACGGGCAGCCTTGACAGCGACGTCTACATCCTCGGCGGTGGCTTCGCAGACGGAGCAGATAGGCTCCTCAGTGGAGGGGTTGATGACTTCGAACTTCTGCTTCTTGACACCCTCGACGAACTCGTTGTTGATGAAGCTAGCCGAGACGGATGAAATATTAGCAAAGTTCCTACGAATCTCCTTAAGGCGAAATGGAAGCGGGAGCTATAACTCACAGGCCGATGGGCTGCTTGTAAGGGCCCGTGACGGGTGTCTCGAGGTCCACAGTGAGAGACATTGTGTATTGAGTAGGGTTGAGTAAGGTGTAGGAATAGGAGTCTTAGTTGCGGAGGATTCGGTTCCGGAGAAGCAGGGGGTTGGAAGGTTATTGGAATGGGAGGGTTAGATCGAAGGGTTGGTAGAAAGATGAAGGTCGAGAGGAGATGTTCGGCAAGGGAATGCAAGAGGAGCTTGCTGTTATTATATAGACGCTGCAGGAGGAATGGTGCGAAGAGACGATCCACTGAGGGGTCTGGTTCCTCGATGTAGTACAGCCGTTTCAAGGCGGGGTTAGCCACCCATAGATCACCAAATAGCCCGAGATCTCTCGTAAAGAGGGGGAGCTCTAACTTGAGCTGTCTCGAACTCGGTGCGGGGGACAGGGATGGCTCGGATTCATGGGCCGGAGATGGGCTGGAATATGGACTGGGTGACGAAACGGAGGGTCACATAGAGGAACGGAGAAAGGGAAGATGTCGATTCCAAATTCCACCGCGCCATGAAGCGCCCGTGAGCATGTCGAGATGGGGAGAACGAGCATCTATGGAGTACGGCAGGTACCATCGTCATTCAGGGTTGCCCGCATCAAGGTGGGGATGCACAAGTGCTCTTTCCCAGACAAGCTACAAAGTAGACTAGCAGGTACACCCCACTACTAGGACATCTGGAAAGAGTGCGGTTCCGCACATGCCCCAACCCTGATGCTAGCGCCTAGATATGAAAAATAGTACCAAGTACGTCTGAGATGTCCAATTAAGGCTTCGACGGATCTTTCTCCTTTGCGATCTGTAAGAGCTTTGCTGATCCTGCTGGTTAAACCGCAATAATACATCGAATCACCGATTGATCCAGGTTGCGGGTGGCTGTCCAAGTTACAAATCCGTCTACCGCGGCACAGTGCCTTAGCCCCGAAGAATCGCGGAGAACTAAATTGCGGGGTAGCAATCCGTGTCCGTCATCAGTACCAGACTCGGACGCGGAGGTCAACCGACTCGCAGAATGGAAGCATTGGCCCCCCAGAAAAATACAAGAATACCAGGTACAATTACAGTTGCTCTCCTTTAACGAGCAGCGCTGAGGCGGATTTCTAGGGGATCATTGGCATCTTGTTTAATTTCTAATCCAAATAGTATGGCGTCGCGCGTTAAGCTTGCACTGTACAGTCTCTACTCTAGTAAACTTACCAATATCTGGCCGAAGATCGGATTGATCCGTTGCTGGCCAGCGTCGGCAATTCTACTAATCGGAAGTAGTTTGTATCCCGCTGCTGGAAGATGTGAGTGCGACTCGCACACCCTCGTGTCCTTTGATCTTACTCGACTTCACAGCAGTGAGGCACATCCCATCAAGGTTGGGTCGGGCATACAGTTACCCCAAGCAACACCGATCGAGGAGACATGCAGAGTATTGACTTGTCCTGGTTTAGTGGCATGGCAGTCGTGCTGTGAGGCGGCTCGCACTAACTTGCTAATCCGCTTCTGCTGCACTCTGCCCGCCCTCTGGTTTTGCGTCTCGACCACTCGGGCTAATCATAGAGCGAAAGAAAGCCCCAATGTCCGCGCAAATGAAACGAGGGGCCAGACCAGAAATTACCAGAAAGGGCAAATCGTTTTTTACTAATGACTCTCCTACTTCGTAGAAAGTGGGAGCCACTCTTATCTCCGCGCCAACTTGCAACTTGGACTTGTCGAATTCAGCTCTGTTTGATAGAGCGAAGTAGGCCAACATCGCCATCGACTATCGCCCTACGAACCCCCATCCTCTCTTGGAAATAGCTTCCTTACTCGCAGATACATACACCTTCAGCCCTTCCGTACCTCCGAGCACCGCAAACTAAACATCAATTACCAGATCGGGAAATGATGCCGCGTCCTCTCGGCCGGCGCCAAACCGTGAATCACATACGAAGTAGGGCCATACCTTCTCACCCACGCATATCTGAGAAATACTACAAGGTATGCCACGCCGGAGCCGTTTCGCAGTGCGGCTTACTGGTCGAGTAATCCCCGAACAGGGGGGTTGTAAGCGGAGAGGTCTGCACTAAGAGTTGCATCAACCAACCTGCCTTGAAAGAATGGCCCCATGTTCCCCACAGATGGCTTTTGTCTTCGCTCATTTCTCCTCATTCCCTGCCAAGGATGTTTGTTTTTGTCGTAGATTTGTCATAGCTCAGGGCCATTTTGCAGAGCAATGTCATTACAATTGTAAGGGAAACATCAATCTTGATTTCATGAGCTCATCGATGCCCCGGATTCGTTTTCCACTGTCTCCAGAAAGTATCCAGCGTTGTTGTGTGTTGCTACTGCCGTCGACCTCGATGGCTTGGTCTGGCCTGCCCGTCCGATTACATCCAATTACGAAGTACTTCGTACGAGCTTCTATTTTAGCTTTTGAGGTGTTGGCAGGTTGACAGTCAAAGCTAACTGCAGCTAGATGCCCGAAATACAGCCTCCATAGTTCTTAGTTTTCCACGGGAATAATTTACCCTTTGGGGAATTTCTTCCTAATACATCAAATTCCTCCACATGAGGAAACTGAGGTTCCTGGTTTTGCTAATGTTAGTGAGCTACATTAGCCACCCGCTATGGGTTAGTTTTCTTTGTTGTACCCCCTAAACTACACATTCACATGGCACAAACGAACGCCTCAAATTACTAGAGAATGCCTTCAAAATTAAAAGAAAAACACCTAGAATCAATTTCACATGCCTCGTGCTAGAATAGGTTTGAAATTGAGGTGTATGTATGTCCAAGCTTCAGATAATGGGCTGTCTATTTTGTCCTTGGGCAGCCTCTTCCAGGTGTTGCCAGTCGTTCGATGTGCCGAGCAGCTGGGGTAGCACTTCCCCGTACGAGGGCAAAATTTCTTCATCTTGACCGCCTTCCAACTTTTTCTTATCGATCGTTATCGAACCCGCCGCTGAACCAACCCCCGCCGTGAGAAAGAGGTCGGCATTGTCGTCGCCAGATCGAGATTGCCTGATCGCGACATCGCAGTTAAACCCGTTCGCGAAGAAGCCCTCTAGGCCTACCCTGCAATAACCCTCGCCCCCCACCTAAGAAGTTGCGCCGAGGATCGTGGAACGTAGCTAGCGCCTGCCAACATACCTCAGCTCGACAATGGATTGATCTAGACCGAATTGTTCCATCCTTGCTGCCGCCAACCCATACACCAAATATAGAAGCTCCTCCATCTTGAAAGAATGACCGATGATGTAGTGACGACGGCCGCGACGGGCTCGGAGGGTAATGCCACGCAAAACCCCTCGGTGCCGGGGCCCGCTCCGATGGCACCCTCGACCGGGTCGGATGAGCAGATGCCCGCTGCGCATATATTCGACCCTGCTTCGGCAGACAGACTACTGCAGTCTTTGGTGCATGCTTCAGCCGAGCTCCAAGCGGTCCCTTCATCAAACATACCTGTCGAGAACCCTACAAGCAACATGACAACACAAACAACACAATCCACTACGAGTCCTGCAGCACCTGCAACGAGTCTCTCTCAACAGCCCAAAATGGGTACGGATGCGAACCAGAGCTCAAACATCCCAGAGAGTATCCTCAAGGCCATCACGGCAAATACCCAAACTACCAAAACCACCACGACAGCAACTCCTCTAACGAATCCTCCCGCGCCGATACCTGTTCAACCTGCAATGAACCCTCCGAATCTCCCAATCGCCACTTCGCCAACGAAAAGACCCGCGTCGCTGGAATCGGAAGCACCCGCTGCAAAGAGAATCAAGATAGAACCCATCGATGACACGCAGGCAATCTTGCCGGAGACTCTCGCCAGTCTCGCAAACGCGACACCCGTCTCTGTACCCTCTGCTGCGACATCCACGCAGTCCGCTCCGGCACCCGTCTCAACTCCCACCGCAGCTCCTATTGCAGCTCAGGCCCCGGCCACCACCTCAGTCACGCCGATCGCTTCCATAGAGAAATCACCTTCAGTGAAACTTGAGCCGGGGAAGGAGACCGCAACCCCAGAGCCGGTTAAGGAAACTACGACTCCCACGCCGCAAACGAGAGCGCCCGCACATCCGAGGAAGCGGAGGAGAATGCTGGAGGCACCGGCGCAAGCGTTGCGAGGCATGAACATGCAGCTTTTGGGGATAACTGTGGGTTTCAACGCCTCTTCCGCAACCTTGTTCTTCGCCATTAACTAACATCTATGCTCGAATATCAGGCCGTGCAAGTGCTGGAATGGCTGTCTCAGGAGCCCTTTGAAGAGTCCATTGATGCCCTTCGTGACCTCGATTCCGACTTCTACGCGTCCTACAGCTTCAAAGTGACCCAGTTTGAACAGGCGTGGAGAAACTTTTCCCAAACGGACGACGATCTTTTGGTCTGGTCGAAACTAGGTCTTGATGATCAGAAGCACCGTAAGACGGTGCGGCTGGCAAACCTTGCTCGATTCGGAATCGATCTGTTTTCCGAAGACGAGACATATCTACCTACTCTCCATGAGAGATTTTTCCAAGTCTTCGTCTACGGCACGAGAAAGTTTACCTTTGATCATTCTAACATCCTCTTGGAGCTGAAAACGCAGCTGGCGTTGAGTCTGCTCGCCGAGAACACCAGTGGGAAAACTCCCGCCGACCTGCTACATGAGGTCTTCACCGAGGGTTTAGAGTCGGTCCTCAAAGAACGAAGTTGGAACCAGGCCAACTTCGATGAGGAGCTTGGCATGTTAACCTCGGCGGAGATAAGAATGTCGCTCTTATTACAGGAATACGAAGAGAGTGGCAACAACGGTACGTGAAGATGTTTGCTCAACATTCCAAGCCGGGATCCGAGGCTAACAGAAGACGCCACTGCCGCAGCCCAAGTACTTGTAGACCGTTACCCTCCCGACTCTTTATTAAAACAGCTTGGGTCCTATATTCACAATGAGCTAGTGGCCCATGCGGATCACTGCCAGACGCTTGCTGTCAGTGCGAGGGCTGTCGGGAAGCAGCAAACCACCATCCCTGCCCATGTCGCGTTACAGGACGACGATGACTACTGGAAGAAGACGAATAGCCTCATCGATGGTGTCGGGGAATCAATCATGGCGGAGATTAAAGGGTTGAAACCTGCATCCGAGGAGAAGCCCACGGATGCTGTGCCAGGCGCAGTCAGCACATCCCAAGGAACAGACAATCAACCTTCCGTACCGAGCGGCACCCCACAGCCTCAGGCCGCTGCAGCACCCGCCTCGAGTGCTGAAAGCATCCCAGCCTTGAGCGAAGAGATGCAGAAGCGAATTGGCGCAATTCTTGGGCCGTTATTTGATTATATGAACCAAAGGATTGCGTCGCGCGAAGCGGAGCTTGCTCAAGCAGCTCTTCCTGCCACTCCAGTCCCAAATCTAGCTCGTATGTCTTCTCATCCTATAGTTTTCACTTGCGCTCGGCTAACTCGTCTTGTGTGTGCCAGATCACGATACCACCGCACAGAACCTCTATCTCCTCAAGGCGGCCCAGATGCCTCAGGCGCAACAAGGCGTGTATGGCCAGCAAATACCAGGCGCCGCGCAAGGAGCTACTCCTGCGGGCCCTCCCCTTGTGCCCATGCCGGGCCACGCTCAGGGGCATGTGCCAGTACATCCTCTGCCCCATGCCGGCCTCGGACAGGTCCACAATCATATTACCGGACCCGCTGCCGGACGAGCGTCGGGAGCAGCGGCGCCAGGTGAACTTCCCCCCAACCAAACCTGCCCCACCTCAATTCTATACGATAAGGCACGACAAGCGGCGCTTTCGAAGTCTACTGCTCATACCCGGAGAGAGGGTATCCACTCAACCCGTCGACCTTGGACTCCAGAGGAAGAGAAAGCGCTTATGACTGGCCTCGACATGGTTAAGGGACCCCATTGGAGCCAAATTCTAAGCCTGTTTGGTCCTAACGGCACCATATCAGATGTTCTGAAAGACAGGACCCAGGTTCAGCTCAAGGATAAGGCTCGTAACCTGAAGCTTTTCTTCCTCAAGACACAATCGGAAATGCCCTACTACCTCTCGGCTGTCACAGGAGAGCTTAAAACCCGCGCCCCGAACCAGGCCGCCCGGAAGGAGGCGGAAGAGCGGGCGAGGCTCAGTCGCGAGGAAGATCAAGCGAAGGCACAAGGTCTCCTGAGTCTCTCCAGCAGCCTACAAAACTCACCTCAGCTCGCGAACCACGGCCAAGCCGGAGCAGCGAGCCTTGCGCGCAAACAGACCCCGGGTGTGGTTACCCCGGCGCAGGCAGCCCTGGCCGCACAGATAACGACGCCCGCAATGGCTCAAGGTCAAGCCCAATCTGCAGCTGCCCAGAGACCGATCCAGGCGTCTCCAGTCGTCTCAAACGTTACCCAGGCCGCAATCCCCGCTTCAGCACCCACTGTAACGCCTTCGCCTAGGCTTGCGTCTGCACCAAACCCCCTTGCCCATTTGCAAGCTTCGACGCTGCAGGCCGGTGGGACAACCCCAGGTAGCGCAGTGAATAGAGCAACCACCACATCTACAAGCCCAGCTCCTCCTACGCCCGCACAGGTAATCGCCACTCCTGCAACAGCCCAGCGACCGCCTCAAGCCTCTCATCTCGCACCAAGCCCATCAGTTCATGCCCAAGTCGGTGGCCAAAGACCCATCGCTTTGCCGCAGGCAAGACCCCAAGTTTCAACCCAAGGACAGCCGCAGACCTACACACCAGCGACGGCCACGCCCGCATCAACGCAGCCATCCGTACCTACTGCCTCCACATCCGCCATCGCCGCTGCCAGCACGGCCACTGCCCCTGCTACTTCTGCACCTACGCCGACCCCGCCCGCAGCAACGCCCACCACCCAACCGAAGATGCCCACCCTCCCACTTTCGGTGACTTCTCTGCCCAACTTCCCCACCACCAGTACCTCTGCGCATCACAGTGCCCTCCACTCCCTCGCCGCGTCGAGGATATCGACTCCTCCCGTGACACTGTCGCAATCCTTCCCGACGTCGACAATACCCGCCAATTTGTTCTCGCGAGTGACGGAGGCCGAAGCTACGAATGCCGCGCTCTTGGAGAGGTTGCGGGCCGAGGTGGCTAAGGAGGCTAGGTCGGGCTAGAGGCTAATCTTGCCGAGGCCATCGATTGAGACGGCGAGGGAACTTGTGGCTGCCTCGATGCCGGCTGCACGTCGGAGGCGGAAGCGTCAGTAGGGAAGTGGAGGGGAGGGGGGTTATGGTCTGTTGGCTTTTTTTCTCCTTTCATATCATGGCTTTGTTTGGTATATGACTTTCGATGGGGGGCTGGGAGGGATATGACAAACACGCTCTTTTTGAAGTCGGCGAAATGGTTCAATATTCTTTTAGGTTGATGGATAGCGAAGCGATATCTTATAGAGTAATGGGCTACAGAAGCTAAGGCTTTATTTCTATGTGGAGGATGTCCCTATGTTATGTGGCATGATCTGTTGTAGCACTCTCTTTGAGATGTGTTAGTGCTCTCTCCTGCCAGCTTATTCTTCAAACATCCTACGTGTTCCGTATCTTGATCCGTAGAACAAGCCTGAAGTAATGAGACCAGTGGCTCAAATCCTGCTTTTAGAGAGGTTTGTGTTTCTTTTTTCCTTTTGGAACACGTAGCCCATATTCTATTTCGTGTATATACGGCACCATCCATCCTCTTTTCATTTAAAATCGGCACTGGCAAGCAAAGATGGGTGTATGTACCCACGATTCTTGTTTCGGAATGTAACACAAGTGAGGGTCCTCGTCCGCCTTCTTTTGGTGGCCAAGCCGAAAGGGATGGAAACGCATGTTGTTTGTGGAACGTGAAACTAGGCATCGCCACGTAAGAGTTTCGGCGACCCTTTTGACTAATACGACTGCGAGGGTGGTTTTGGTGGAGATGGTTGAGGCTTATACGGGAGATATCGGAGGAGGTCAACCGATGAGAGCAAACGCGCAGGTTGCATTTACGGCGGAGGAGGATGTATATAGCCAAACACGTACGTCACGAAGAGATAAAGGGGGGTAGTGTGTGGTCCTGTAAGGCACGATATTTCCAAGAAAGGACGGGTGAATCCTTGGATGCGAAGGACTCTCGAGGAGTACAGGCTATGCAGGTTGCCGTGGTGTTGGGATCACCATCGACAGATTGGAGGCTCACAGCGAATTTCCCTTGAGATGGCGTCTGACCTTGGCACAAGGTGTCAGGCGGGTTTGTTGTTGCGCCGTCGTACTGGGCTTTTCCTTTCGGTTTGGCGAAGCTGATGGCTCTGAGTATATAAGGCCGGTAGCCCAGGCACCTCCCAGTCTTCTCCTCAAGGCAAATTGATGTGTGAGACCTAAAGTTGTCCGACCTCGATTTCGCTACAGAGAAGGAACTTTCGTTTTTAATAGCGAGAGACAACCGCGTCCCTCGAGACAGATACAGACCATGGCATGGTTCGGTCGCAGAGCCGCCCCCAAGGAATATAGCATGCCCTCCAAGAAGAAGCAAGGTCGAACGCCTCAACCATCCCGATGTAGCTGGACCAACAACGGCTGGACCTGCAAATACCCAAGGGCGTTGGTCTTGATCCACGAGACCCGCGTTCAGTGTCAGTTTTGTCGTTTCCACCAGTGCAAGAAGAACGGTGAGGGTGCGCCTTGTGGTGTACCAACGGTAGGAGGGTTTCCGTTTTGTCAGAATCGTAAGTGAACTCCATATGCCGTTCTGTGGATTCGCTATTCCTGGCTCACGGTCCTTCCAGATACGAGGTGCACCGCATCGACGAGCGGCACACGATGTTCCAACTACGTTAAGGACATGAGTGCGAACAAATTCAAGTTCTGCGCTCAACTGCGTAGGTCTCAACCCCGTCTCGGTGCTTACCAGTTCGCTACAGGTATAGGTTACTGACCGACCTTGCCCACTAGACAACTGTAACAAAGAAGATTGCAATAAAGAACGTGTCATCTACAACGAGGTAGACCTCAAGTACTGTGCCGAGCACCGCTGCATCGTCGCCAACTGCAAACAAGAAAGAGGCCTTAACGCAACCTACTGCCGAAAGCACACCTGTGACGGCGCCAACTGCACAGCCTTCGCCGAGGGCATTGGCGAGCCGGGTTCATGGACTCGCTACTGCGACAGGCACCGAGTCTGTATGAGCGACGGCTGTAGTAGACTATGCCATATCCGCGAGGATGGAATAGCTTCGAAACGGTGCGGACTCCACTATTGCCGAGTCGCCGGGTGCGACAACGAACGCCGGGGAGACCAGAACTGCGAGCAACATTCGTGCATTGAGCTCGGCTGTTTGAAAGCGAGGCATGAGGCCGAGTCTCTGTATTGCAAGAGCCACGAGTGTAAAGCTTCCGGATGCTTCTTTAAGAGGCGAAAGGGTGATTGGTGCCCGGAGCACATGTGCGTCAAGCCGAATTGTGACCAGGGGGCTGAGGCCAATGGATACTGCAAGAGACATCAACTTTGCACAGTTGTGGGTTGTGAGCGATATCGTGCGGTAATTGGGGACAAGATCCTAGAGAAATGCGACGACCGTAAGTACCTCTCTCCCTCCGCCCTCCCTAACTCCAGGAAAACCCGCTCGACGAGCAGATGACCTAACGCCATTATTTAGACTCGGCCGTGATCTGCACTTTCGAAGGGTGCAAGCAAAAGGCATCCCCGACCAAGCTCTTCTGCACCACCCATCTCTGCACTATCCGCGAATGCACCAACTCCGTCTGCAGTCCCTCTAGCGCCTTCTGCATGGCTCACAAATGCGCCATGCCGCATTGCACAGCAGCAAAATGGAGCATCCTGCCTCACGCACCCATAACTGCCGCTTATGCCGCGATGACGGTGGCGCCGTCGCCCTACTGCGTCCAGCATGCGTGCCACTATCCTTCTTGCATCGAGCGGGCCGAGCCGGAGACGCAGCGGTGTCGCGATCACTCGAAGTGTCAGCGAGATGGGTGCACGAGGCTTGCAGAGAGGGCGAGTAATTCGCTTTATTGTGCGGAGCATCGGGTTCGGCCGGGGAGAGAAGAACCGCATTTGATGTTCCCGAGGGGAGCTCGGCTCAGTGGGCGACACTGGGCTTGAATTGTGGCCGGCGCAAAGGATGCAATTTGCGATTTGCCTTGTTAGCTCATAGAAAGGGAGCCCAACTCCTGACACACTCGGGGAGAATTAGATCAGGGGCGGAGTACGAAGTAGAAGAAGTATAGGTCGATAGCAATAAATCAAAGTTTATAGGTCCCTTGAGTGAGTGACCAAATCCTTCGAGGCTTGCCTCGAAAGGTTCGAACTCAACCCTACGGCTCGTGACTTTTAACATAGATTTCCATGGCCACGACTTGGAGGAAAGCGTGCAGCATGTCTCATGTCTCACAGGAACGGCGTGCACTGCATGCACAACATCCATACATTTGCAGAATGCGGGTGCCTGCGAAGCATAGCAGTGAGGCAGACGATAGGGTCTTGCCCTGGGTCATGACTGGTCGACTGCTGGGCCTTCTTGCATCAAGGAAGGCGGCCGGAAGGTGAATACTACCCATTCGGTCCTCGAGGTCCATCATGTGTGGCGAATTATCATTCACGAATGTTCCATGCCTTTTTCAATGTGATTTTGGGTCATGAAGCCATAGACGTTGGTTGCAGAACGCCTTCCGTAAAGCACGAGTGTGTGCCTTTCGCGAAATTTCTTTCCGCCAACCGGCCCGACTTTAAGCTGGCCAGGCAGCATTCGACGCCTAAACTTAGCGCAACTATCACCTCGAGCAAAAAAAAAAAAAAAATTCTCTTGCAGCGCCTCATCGGACCCGAGGGAACGGAACTGGATGTGCTCGTGATGTCAGAGTTACGGTGCGGACCCAAAGGAAGATGAAGTAGACAACGGCCGGATGGGCAATAAATCCACTTTTATGGTAATTAAGCAACCTCGGCCATTCTTATCCTTTCTCACATGCTGAGATTGAGGGGACGGCAGTTCGCAATCCTGGTCACGTCAAGTCAAGACCGGCCTGAAAAGTAGGCCGGGTGGGTTCGGAGGTGCGGGATGGTGCGGGAGGATATGGACAACTTTGGAGCCTTGGACCTCCAAGTTCCAGGAATCTCTGTCCACCGGGCCTCGCCAAAGTGTGAGTGGTCAAAGACAACCAGACCCGGGACTGCTAAAGCTCATGGGATAGTCCATTTGAGAGAAAACCCACATTCTCGAGCTCTAGACCATGGAAGCATGTTGAAGATAGAGGGTGGAGATGAGTATTTCTAGATAACTGAAAGGTCGATATGAGCTTCACACCCTGCTAAAACAGGTGATTCTCGAAGTCGAAGAAGGGTTTGGGTCTGGCCGAGGCGATGCGGTGATGTCTTGATGGCTGTGCTCGGTGCTGTTTTGCGTGGGACACTTTGCCGTAAGAACGAGAAAAATGATTGGCTGTGATCACTAAGCGCTAGACGCGGCAGGTGTCAGCTTGAACTTCGGTTAAATAGAGAATACCCTGATTGGTTCGGAAGGAACGTGGCCCTGCATCTCGAATCTTGTGTCACGCACTCCACGGCTGCTTTGTCGAGGATGACAATCTCGCATCTCCTCTCCAACACTCGAAAAAAATGGGGAAAAAGAAGTCTAACAGGAAGGACGGAAAGAATGAGTGAAATCTGTTGCCTCCTTTGGTTTCCACTTCAAAAGCGTCTGTCCTCGAAGGCGCGTGAGAAATTAAGTCATATAATCTCTCATCGCACAAGAGGGCGACAGCCAGTTGAGACATTCTGGACATGCTCGTTGGACTCGTGGCCAAGACCCACGGCCAGGGACGTCACACGAAGTCTCATTCTCGCCATTTTGTGAGCGTGTCTACATGACCACCATTCCCGCCCTCCTTTATCCCTCCCTCCCTTTCAAGTCTACTTCCATATAGCAAACTTGGACCCTTTCACCTCCAACTCTTTGGTACATAAATCTCAGAATCGTAGAAGTGTCCCCCCTGGCATCGAGTGAGCCGACCGCTTGGCCGCTATGCCCAACCCTTGCTCCCCACCCACCACACCTCTGGAGACCATATGCAGGGTCCTCGTGGGCAGACTGCGCCGGGCCCGATATCCGGCCATTTCATGATGTAGACCGTAAATTTGGGCCCCTGTCCTCTGCAAAATGATGTCTGGATTTCTCTATTCCAACACTAAGATAATCGACTTACACCTACTATTTCTCCATAACTGTGTAGGGACGGGCCTCTCCCGTGAGGACCTGCCAGGGCTTGTCTCTAGTGGGAGGCCATGCCATACAGTCTTCTGCTTTGATCACCTGCGCTTCTTCATAGACTTCGTTTCTTAGGAAAAAAGTTTCTCTTGGGAACAAACAAGAGTATATATCAGAGGCTTAAGTGCCTCAAACTGCCGTCCCTCCATTGTCTTGTCCGCATTCCAGCAACCGCAGTTCCGTATCGAGCGACCACTATCCACTTCAGGTATTCTAACCGACCGACTTCCACTCTTTACACGCCAAAGAGTCTAAGTCAACAAAGACGACCAAAAAAAGAAAGAAAGAACATCGAAAGCCTTTTCCCATTCTTCGCGCCTCGCTCCTGTTGTTGGAAGCCTACCTTGAACAACTTCAAGCTACGCTTCTCAACAAAGTAGGCGGGGTTCAAGACTCCCACTTACACGAACAAGCAAAAACACCACATTGACGGGTTCAACAATCGAGGTGGGCGACGGCGGCAAGATCATCTGTGAGGAGACCTGCCGCAAAGACAAGTCGCACCACCGACGCCTAACTCCTCACCACTCGTGTCCCGACCTCAACGAGGCCCTTCTCATGTCGACCCGAGTCTACGTCGAGACCCTACCGGGGGGCAACACCCAGTTCGTCAAGCTCAAGCGCTCCCGATCTCACCATCACCACCATGACCACCACCATTACGAGCATCATCACCACCACGAGCACCGCCACGAACCCCGGTGTGGCAAGCCCACTCTCTGCCATAAGCACCAGGACTGTCTCCACGTCCCCGTAGACGAATGGAACGGTCTCGTCAAGTCGGAACAGGACCTCCGATGCCAAGTTCGCGAGCTCAAGTCCAGCCTAAAGAAGAGCGAACACGAGAACGAGCGACTCCGAGCCAGCGAAGACAAACTCACATGTCGGGTCCGAGAGCTGTGCGACGAGAATGCCTCCCTCCGTCAGTCCCTCGATAGCGCCGTCTCCCTGGCAGATAAGAGAGGCCGAGAAGTAGCGAGGCTCCGTGACGAGGTCGGTCGGCTCGAACGAGACAATGATTGCATGAGGGTCCGTATACGACAGCTCCTTAAGGAGTGCCGACACTCGTCAGTGGAACCGATTGCCTATCTCCGACGCCTTGTCAAGGACTGGAAGCATAAGTTCGAGTGCGCCGACCGGGCCTTGGAAGACCGCATGAACACCATTGCCGAGCAGCGCGAAAAGATTGCGGAGCAGCGGGATAGGCTTGCCCTGTACGAGCGACTCTTGAGAAGGCACAACATCGTCATCTGTTAAAGATCCATGGAAGACAAGCCTCGACGAACGATACATCAACGGCTAAGGCGCTTTACCGCACAGATTGGACGACGGGTTCCTTTCACGTTTTGATTCAAGGACGGTTTTCCATTATTTTTCTTTGCCTTCATACGAGCAGAGATGTGATGGCTTAGGTGCAGTGTCGTTGATGGCAGGAGGACGGATGGATCGATGATTTTCTCAACTCCGTTCCTACAAGCTGCCCACTGCTTTCTCTGTCTGCAATTTTGGGGAACAGGAGACTAGAGAATGTCTTCGATGGTGGAATGAACTTTACTTGCCTATGTTTTTACTTTTGTTCTTTTGTTCTTTTTCTTCTTCATTTTTTTTTTTCCTCTCTTACTTTCTTTCTCTTCAATGTATCCCCCTATTTTCACCATGTTTTTCTTCCCTAACTTGTAACCCCATACCTTTTTGGAGATGAGATATGAGAGACGGTCGAGGTCGTGTATGAGATGAATGATTCGAGATTTTCCGAGTAGCAGAAACTAGATAGAGTGGAGGGAACTTAGTGTAGCCATCATCAATATGAAGCCAGTTAGTTTGGCCAACTTTTGCTACTGCGCTTTCTCTTATCATCGCAACCTAGCGGCATCTGCATGTGGGACCTGGAGAGGCCAGGCCAGACGACGTCACAAAATAGGAAAAGGCAAGGGGTCTCTTGTCTTCGAGTTCCGGGAGGGTCTGGTGGATTGGCGAGCAGATCAACGTGGTGGTTGCATGTTCTACATGCGAGGAACCCGTGCGGGATAAGCAGCGGGACAATAACCCGTGATGTCGCGATTGGTGTGTTGCTCTGGAAGCGCAGCATTTAACCTGAAAGAGGGTGACAAGTACAAGTGACTTTGGGGGAGTCCAGCTGAATCCAGGGTCCCTTGTACGAAGAAGTAGGAGGTAAACTAAACTAACTGCACGCGGCGCAACGAAGACAACGGAATGGCGGCACTGGTTGATTCGGCATTATGTACGAGGGTACGAAGGTAGGAAAGTAAGATAACCTCTGAAACCCCAGAACGGAGCCGAGTGGCATTAGGACCAGCCATGGATTAAGGTATGTTGGGCACCTAGACCAGTGTGTAACTCTCCTCGAAAGCCCGAGAACCGAGATCTACTTTGTATTGCATATAGATACCTTTAGCAAATTAGCAGTTTTCAAGGTGAATAGGTGGAAAACCTAGACCCATCGATCTCTTCCTGATGTTCGGTGAGCTTGAATGACGAACGGATTATTACCGTATGCTTTGACAGCTCGATCATTAAACTTGCCTCGTGGGGGTTTAGTCCCCGTCTCAAGATCGCTACGGCAGTCGTTTCTGGGCATTTGTTTGAGGCTAGGCGATCCCGAGAAACAGACTCGTTGCACTGTACTTTGTACACTACATCGCAGATAAGGTCCTCAACAAGCTTTTTGGGGAGACGCCAAGACTAGAGCCGTGATTGCATTTTTCTGCTCCCGCACATATGGGTCCAGAGGACCAAAGAGAATGGCGGATTCGTACACTGCATGCAGGAAATGGCGTATCTTGGCTTTTTCTGTGGGTCGGTTGGGAGCGGAGATCCTTCCAGGAGCTTGCACCACTGGCCCCTCGTAAAGAGAAAGTTGGGGTATTCGCACATCACGGCCCCTTTTGGGACAGTTTGATGAAGCTCCGAGTGGGTTTGGGGGCACATGGGGGAGGGGAAGGTTAGATTTTAGCCTAGCTTAAAAGGGAGTCTAGCCTTTTGGCCTGGTTGCCGTTTAACCCCAGTCTCTGCATCAGACCGATTTCAGCGGCGCAAATTGAGGTCTCGGGCTCAGGAGAAACGTGCTTGCACACATCGCCGTCTTGTCCTTCACCTTCCGTCGGATACGCATAGAGTACGAAGGACAATAACTCACACATTCCACACCTCGCTCTGAGGAAGTCCGTTGGGGGGGAGCTGATGAGAATTAGAAAGTGTAAGGCTCATCGATCTGCTATTCCGTGCCCGCAGCCTTCCACTATAATAGCTGGTAGTTAAACTATAAGTAAAGCTAGCCTGCCGGGTTCCTAGCCATCTGATATCCGGGAAGTCTAGACTTCCCTTTGCGACGCAAGGATAATAATAAAATTTCATCTCAAACTTTTTTTTTCTTCTTTTTAAACTCGGGCTGACCGTCGCCAATACTACCTACCCTGTCGTGCATCCCGCCTGAGATTGGCTTTCCGTGATGAAGATCCTTTGCATTAATCCTAGCGTGCCCGCAACGTGGAGGAAGCACAGTACTTTTCTGAGATCGCCAGCGAATAGTAATAAGAGGCGGAATCATTCTAGCATCAAATGAAGGACGTGAAGAACAGTACTGAGGTGGGCTGCAATACATGACGAGGGCGGGCAAGCTGGCAGCTAGCAGCTAGCAGGGGCAGAAGCGAGGAATCTCGCACCGGTCATGCACCGGTGGCGCATGGTTTTTCCTTAACTGATCACAATTGTCTATCGATGAATGGAGGGTCACTCGTCTTCCGCGCTATCTTAACCCCAGGAGCCTGTAGGACGGGGAGCTAGGTAATGCGGCATGGCTCGCCATGCATTGTTCATCTGTGGGTTCGTGTCTTCGTGAGCATGGGTCTATGAACTCTACACTACTCAATGGTCGGCGACTGGGGTTGCGGAGAAGAAAAACGAAAAACACTCAACACAATGATGCAACAACATCCACTGTGAAGGGTATGTATTCTTGATCGAGGGATCAATTTGCTAATCTGGCTTTGCTCGGTATTACCTCCTCGCTTGACTCTAGGCGAGGCCTTATCCGAAGCCTCAGATGTATTGAGCACTAAAGAGACAGCACGTGCTGAGTAGCACGAAGATTACCCGACTCTGCCTGGCTAGCCTGGCTACGCAATTAACGGGAGAAACGCCACCTCCAAGGTATGTACTTCAGATGTTTGTAACCAGCTGGTCCCAGCAGCAACGACGTCGAAGGGCCCAGGTCTGGTCCAGGTCTGGTCCAGGTGCAAAGATCGTTTTCTGTGCAATCACAGATGCTCAATGACCTAACGACAGCACGGAAGGCACGAGCAGGCCCCCGCCCCGTCCAACCAAACTTCGCGTGTGGCACACTAGCTTGTACTCGCTTGACGTCGGGTATCCCCCCGTGCTGGCATTATGGTTTGGCGCTATGCTAATCTTGTGTGTAGGGCCGATCTCTCCACCCATCGCTCTGGGATACTGGACAGTGGATGCTGGATATACGGAGGTAATAATAGTGTGCGTGCCTCGTGCACAGGACATTGGATAAAGTCGGCGGGTCTACGAGATCTGATCGTTGAAATCGTTGATGCAATTCCTGCTCGTACTAACTTCGTACACTACATTGTGTATCAAGTATGGGGGTAGTCCACTCAATCCACTGGTACTGGTCCCAGTGCATATTGTATACACGATTCAGGGCCGTCTGCTCTGTCCTTTCTTTGTGCTTCGTACTTGTAGAAACCAGGACTTTGGGATATGCATCGAGGAGCGGGCTCTCCCTCCCTCGTTCCCCCGGAGCAATTCGGCCATAGTCAGGGAGTCAGTGTCCCTGGACTGGCTGGTTGCACTAGTTCCACACTCTTTCTTCGTTAACTGGTTCGGTGTGAGCCTAATTCCCCCCCCTCTACACTAATACGCGACACTACGCGGTACAAGGAACTTTAGTCCCCTGCAAGACATGCCCAGTCTGTTCCCGGAAATGCCAGGCTACAGCGCCAAGTCGCATTACTAGCGTCTGGAGACGGACTTACGCGGAGATGGTAGCAGTGGTTGTACACTTCTGTACTTTGTGCCTCGCAACTGTACCACATAACCACCTTAACCGTTAACAAGAGGGCGGTCCGGTACAACTGGACACTGCTCTACTTCGTATACTTCGTACATGTATATCGCAGCATCCCCCCCAACGGTGAACTTCCCAATTTCCATGTCCCTTCGTACCCTGTTACCCTGTCTCGCGCAATTCATTTTTCCCTCAAGCTGCGTTCCATCACGTTCCTTTGGCTCCGTTGCAACTCGCCCCCCCCTTCCCGTGGCTGCTTCTGCTGCTTGTGCTCCTCAGCTTCCATGCGTAGTGCAGTGCATGGTCCAGTGCGTGGTCCAGGTTCCATCGATTTCCCCCTCCAAATCCAAACCCAAATTCCATTGAAACCATCAATCCCAAGTCCGTCCCCAAATAAGCCCTCCTTGCCTTCTGAGTTTAAACTTGCCCCCTCCTCCCACTTCAACCACTTGAACATCGGACTCTCACACTCTGCTCTCGAGAAGAAAAGAAGACCCCCAAAAGCACGATTCTACGATCTGAAGCGACATATCACTTTTGACGATTATTTTTCAACTTGACGTGCAGACAAATCCTGAAGGAGGATCCCAAGGCTCCGCGAAATACAACGCTGCTCTGATCAGTGTAGCACCGTCGATCGAGCAGCAGCGACCAGTTCAGCTGCCCTTCTCTTCTCCCTCTTTGCATCGCCCTATTTACCACTTCTCGCCTCAAACCCGGCCGGCCATCGTCACAATTGAAAAACAATGGACTACTCGCGGCAGCAATTCTTCGGCGGCCCTCAGCCCTACCAGTTCATGAGTATGCCGCCGTTGACTCCGTCCAACTCCCACTCGGCGGGTTCGGACGACTTCAACACCACTTCGCCTCCGGTATGGGCTCTCCTAGACCCTATTCCTCCCCCACCTCTCTCTCTTTGCCCCTTCTCATCACTCGTGCTCCTTTGATCCACCACTCTCTGTTTTCCTTCCCCCTCACGTCAGTGCCTTAATACGCGCACTCGAACGATCAATGGATCCCGCATTTAGCCAGGCTGTGGATTACTAACCGTCACTTCTCACTCCCCAGGAGGTTTTCGACCCCTTCCCCAGCGAACAGCAACAATACCAAGCTGCCTTCGACGGTGCCTTTCCCACCCAATTCAACCAGACCACCACCTTCCCTGGCCCCCCGACTCCCCCGAGTAACAATGCCATCACTACGCAGCAGGTCGCGCAGCCGCTGCTGAACGGTGCGGCCCAGGTTAAGCAGCACACCCTCGATGGTCTGTCGATCGCGAAAGTCGAGTCGAGTGGCGACGAGCAACGCAACGCACAGCAAGCGTACAACCAGAGCCGGAGGGGCCAGTCGAATTCTGACGAAGATGATCTGACCCCTGCGCAGTCTAGGCGCAAGGCCCAGAATCGAGCAGCGTATGTACTCCCTTCATACCCTCTTCGCCGTTCCATATCCCCTCCGTGGCTTGGACTGGCCTTTTGCCATTGAGAAACTTATCTCTAGCCGCCATTTTTTGGACTTGGCTGCGCTGTCAATGAAAGGGCCGTCCTTCTAGTGAAGGATGCGTCTTACGAAGCGCATACTGCCTTGCATTCTCTGCAGCAGCTCATCGACCGCCACTGTCGAGAACACACCTCCTTATCCCAAATAGTTCCTCCTCCTTAGAAACTTCCATGGATCGCTTAGATGCTAATTCCAGCTTTCTCATTTAGTCAGCGTGCTTTCCGCGAGCGCAAGGAGCGACATGTCAAAGACCTAGAGCAGCGGCTTGCCAACCTCGAGGAGTCGCAGCAGATTGCAGTTGCCGAGAATGAGCGCCTGAAGCAGGATCTACAGAAGATTAGCACGGAGAACGAGATTCTCCGGGCCACCAGCGGCCTTCAGAACGGCCACAGCAACAGCTCTCTCTCCCCTGAGCCTACTACGACCGGTCCTATGCACTACAACCCCACCGACTTCTACTCCAATGTGCTCTCGAACCACGCGAACAAGACGCCCAGCCACAGGATCGTCACCTCCGACGATGGCGAGCGCCTCCTCGCGGTCGGGGCCGCCTGGGACCTCATCATCTCGCACGACCTCTACAAGCGTGGTCTTGTTGATATTGGTGACGTGAGCGAGCGCATAAAGAACCAAGCTAAGTGCGACGGCCAAGGACCCGTCTTCTCCGAACGCGATATTATCAAAGCCATCGAAAGTAGTGTGGCTAGTGGCAGCGACGAACTGTTATAAGCGAAATGAGAAGAAGAAGGATGATGGTGGGTTGTGGCCACACGACCGGAATTTATGAGCAAATATATCTCTACGCGATACATGTACGCTTTGTTATTTTGTTGTTTTCGATTTATCGAGCTTGTTCGATCTAATTAGAACGAACTGGGCTAGGCATATGTTCGGGACTATATGTTATTCCATTTTATCCCAGGACATTTGGCGTTTTCCGATGGGCTAGGGGATTGGGGACCCGGCGTTTACAGTTAAAAATGGACAGCACGGGCTGCGATTGCCAAATGGCAGAGTCGACGAGGCTGGGATGTGTGTGGTGGGCCGTTGACGAGGAATGACGAATGCCCTTTTGAGGACGATGAAATCGGAGAGAGAATGGAGAAGTGGGAGGCTTCTCGCGTGCGACTTACGGAGGTGGCTAGAGCTACAAGCGTCCGCCGAGTCTTTCGCCGACTTCAACCTCGCCAAGACTTGCAAGCTCCTGGCTTTGATGACGGAACTCCATGTCGGTATTCCGGCCTCCTTGCCTCTCAACTCAAGAAGGCCCTCCTAGCGATTTCCGATGCACGCACCGCCCAGCTTCTCAAGGCAAGTCGGGTTCAAATTCGGGTTTTGAGAGGTTTTGAATCTCGAGGGTATATACATTGATGTGGCTTTGCTTTATTTCTATTTCTTTTTCTTTTCTTTTCTTTTCTTTTCTTTTCTTCTTCATTGGCTTGGTCGACGATTAGTTTGGAAGCTTTTGCCCAACCGCTTTACAAAAACTTAGCACGCATTTTGTTCAACCCTATCAGACCTATGTACTGCATTCCCTTTTTCACTCTTCTTTCTTTTTCTACCTGTACTTTTTTCGATTGCTTTTTATCTTCCGTGCAAGATATAAGTTTATTTTACGCACTGCCCATTGGCTGTGAGAAGCAAAAGAAACAATGTCTTGGCGGGATTGTAGGGTAGCTCCTAGTTTACAAGCTGAATGGAAATTTATCGAAACTCGGGAGAGATGAGTCAAGTGTCTCGGCCTTTGCAGATTGTAAGACAGAGAGGATCTGGGTTTGTTATTCCTTGCCAGAAGGTGCAAACGCCCTGGAGAGAGAGAGAAACCGGCATCAGGCTTCATAGGTTTTACAATCCACGTACACAGATTTTAAAGTAGTATCCAAGATAGTTGGTTGGCCGGTCAAAATCGACCATGCTTGAATCCGTCTATCGATGCGCAGTGCAGATCAATTTGATCCCAGCAGATCAGCGTCTCTGCCCCGCACCACTTTAAACCATCCCATCAATTTGTTTAATGGGCGGACATTCGCGTGCTTCCCCCCGGCCAAAAGACGCGTTTATCAACCTCACAAACACGGACACCATCATTTATCCTCCTCAATCTCAAATTTCAACATTGCACATTCCGCATCATGGCCTCACAACGACCCACGTCCGCTGCGGGCGGAGGAAAGACCTACTTTGAACAACAGCGCGAACTTCTCATTGGCGAAATCGCAATGGTTCGTCTTCCCCCCCCAATGTCTCACTTTCTACGGGAAAAGCCAGAAGTATCCTACCTCAAATTTGGGGGAAAAAAAAAAAGCTAACAAAAGTGGGGAACGGACCCGCATGAATGAAGAGTTTCGAGCAAGTCCTCGCAAACATCAACAAGCTGAACAGATCCCTCGAGTCGGTGATCACCGTCGGCAACGAGTTTTCGTCCGTCGAGGCTCTCTGGTCGCAGTTTGAGGGAGTTATGGGGAAGGAGGAGGAGAGCGGAGGGGGCGAAGACACGGTGAAGGAGGAGCGGGGGGCGAAGAGGGAGGAGGAGGAGACGGAGATTACGGGACATGGGGATGAGGAGGAGGAGAGGAGTGATAGGTGAGGATGCCAGAAGGGGGGGAAAGGGGGTGATTGGAATAGGCGGTTTGGCAGAGAGGCTTTGCGAAAACACTACGACCTACGAACATTTTCTTTAGATTCTCACGGAGTATGATGGAAGATACACAAGGGAAGGGACTTGATTTTCAAAGGCGGGTTCTCAATTCTCTGACCTGCACCAGTTCCTCAAAACGAGGAACAAACACAAAAAACGCAAAACGACCGATGTTACAGATGATAAAAGAGAAAACAAGACACCAAGGAAAAGATGAATTTGGGGACAATAGGTCTTCCCCGGACGGATGATTATCGAAAACAAGAGATCCACAGAAGTTTCTCCGAGACGGAAAAAAGAGAAGGAAAGAAAAAAAGGGCCTCCACTTCTCGTCATCCACTGATGATGATAGTAAATGGGCGCAGCAGGAGACGGAGAGGGACTTTTCCCTTTTTGTGGCCCGATTCGCTTATCCCCGAAGCCCCATTGTCTTTTTTTTCTCCACTGCCGCCTCACTTGTATTATGGCCCCCCTTCGCTCGAGAAACTTCAACTGCCGTCAAGGCCTCTTGGACCCGCACCCCGCTACACATGGGAGCTGAAATTGCGAAGGGGAACCAGGAGGAGAAAGAAACAGCCGGACTGGGGCGGAAATCGCGGAGAGATACGACGAGTCGTACAACCGAGTATCCTGAGGTCCTAGGGTTGGCCTCTTGACCCGATCCACTCCGGTTGTTCCGCGTTTCGTCTCCCTTCGGCAGTGTCCCTTTCAACCATCTTCAAGCAAGAGGCTTGACTGACGAGTTCGACAGTTCCGACATAGGGAAAGGGACAGAGAAACATATTTCATAAGTTTTCAAAAGAAAAAGATAGAAAGGAAAGAAAAAAAAGAGAGAGAGAAGGAGAAAGGTTAGAATGAGAAGGGAAGAAGAGAAAGGTTGAGAACAACAAGGGTCATAAGGATGTGTTCGTTTCAAGTCAATAAAAAGAGGTCATTATGCATCCGCCGTTTCCAATGTCTATTCGACAAACGTATTTTCCCTTTCCCCTTCAGTGATGTGTGTAAACGAGTGTGAGTTTCCCTTCATGAACATAAAAAAGACAAATTTATACCAAGACCCGTCAAAAAAAGATGCAAGACTCCCTTCAACAAAACAAAAACCCCCATCCAGATTTGGTTTTCCCATTTTTTCTGTTCTTTTTTTTTATTTGGTTTAAAGAATCTTGCAACTCCGCTTCTTTCGCTTGACGGGTACAACAAAGTTGGTATTGCCGCCGGACGAGCTAGCCGCGGCCATTTGCGCCTCGAGATTCCGACGATCGTTGGCCACGACGGTGAGGATGGCCTTTTCGAAGATCTCGTCGACGCCGCGCATCTCCTTGCTACTGCACTCCATGTACTGGGCGCCCATCTTCTTGGACACGGCGAGACCTTGCTCCGTCGTCACGGGGGTGAGGCCTTGGGTCTTGAGCATGTCGATGCAGGTCTTCTTGTAACGGAGGTCGGACTTGAGGCCGACGAGGATAAGGGGAGTGTAGGGGCAGAAGTGAAGGACTTCGGGGTACCACTGTGGAGGGAGGGAGAGTTAGCCGCGGTTTCGATGGCGCTTTATTCGACCGGCGTAATAACTTACCTTATCCAGGACGTTGTCAAGAGAGTTGGGGCAGTCGATGGCGAAGCAGACAAAGATCAAATCGGTTTCGGGGTAGGAAAGCGGCCTCAGTCGGTCGTATTCCTCTTGGCCGGCGGTATCCCACAGGGCAAGCTCGACAATCTTGCCTGTGGGAGGGTGGATGGGGTAGGTAATGTAGTTTTCGAATACAGTCGGTACGTATTTCTGAGGAGGGAGGTTAGGTTAGTGAGTGGAACAGGAGTGGCGGTATGGCCATGCGCATTCGGATCGCATCGATGGGAACTGCGTAGAAAATGCAGTCCAAGAAGGCGGTGTGCTAATTTACTCACCTCGGGGAAGTATCCTTGACTGTAGCTGATGAGAAGGCAAGTCTTCCCGCAACCACCATCACCGACGACGACGATCTTCTTGGAGTAGGTCGGCGCCTCGGTCATATGAGTGCCGGAGGATTCGCGTCCCGTGGAGGAGCTCATGGTGGTGCTGATGGTTCCTTCACTGGCCCGGTATCGCTGCTCCCTGCGGCCGGAGCTCTCGCGGTAGTTGTCGGCTTTCTCGTTCAAGGGTTGCGGGGAGTAGTAGGAGGATTGGTAGTTGTAGGAAGAAGAAGAAGCCATGGTTAGGCCCACCGAGGCGAGTTGTTTGGTGTCCCTATTTAGCTAGGCTGCTTTGCTCGGAGCAATGATTCTCTGTCCGATATCGTGTTGTTAGGACCTTACTGAAATCGAATGAAAGTGCTGCTTGAATGGATATTCGTTCGTAGTGAAGATGTTGGTTGACTGGATAGATGATTCTGAGTCTTCCAGTCTGGGGTCTGGGGGGCCCGTCGTGGCTGGCGAGAATGGGACCGCTTGTTGATGCCCAATGCGTGCTAGATAAATGCGATAAAAGTCGTTTGTCCTCCTCAGAGAAGGATATGATGATGCCTTTGGAGATAGAATCTGGCAAGATCTGAAGTAGTATTCAGAGTCAAGGGATGTGGAGGCGAAGTGGGTGGATGGACATTAGCAGGCGGGATAGAAGTGATGGGATCTTGGCTGTCGTTGACCTGTGGACGAGCGGACGAGGGCATGTAAACAGTCGGCGGGGCAACCAGAATTGTCCAAGAGGGAATTATTTTTAGGCGGCACAATTGTTAATTGGATCTGACCACTGCCAGGCAAGCAAATCAAGTGGGGTCTGTCAGCTGCTGGCCCCACCCGTTGCTGGCTGCTGGCTGCTGTCTTCTCGCATTGGCTGGCTGCTGGAGGGTGGCCCCGCCTGACTTAGCACACCGCCCGCCGTCGCTGGAGTTGGAACCTGCACAATTTCAACCTCGAGCTTGACGAAGCACTGAATTTTTCTTCCCTCACGACTCCTTCATCTCTTGGCAACGCTCCTTCCGCCTCCACCATAGCTCCTCCAGCAGCTCTTTGTCCCCAACCGGACATCGCGCGTGTTTCCAAACACTCGGAAACAGCCCAACCTGTTCTGGATCTTTCAGGCGCGAGAAGACCTTCTTACTCGACAATGTAGCCTAAGATAGGCAGGAGGAACTGACCCCGATCTTCTCATCGTGCTCGTCATTCCCTCCTTGATTCTTCACCATTAATTCATTCCCTCTCCCCCCAACAAACCCCCTTATATCTCGGTCAGAACAAGCCCATTCTCCGTTCCACTCCGACCATGGCCCAAAACGCCCCTTCGGAGTACATCACGCTCGTCTCGAGCGATGGCTTCGAATTCGTCGTGCTCCGCGAGGCTGCTATGATAAGCACCGTCATCAAGAGCATGATCGATCCACGAAGTAGGCAGCCACCGACTAAAGAAACCCCTCGGTCAGCCTTAGCTAACCATCATCTTCTATTCAGGTGGTTTCAAGGAAGCCATCACTGGGGTTTGCCGATTCCAGGAAATCAGGTAAGCTCCGCTTTAGTTTTGGCGTTACATTTTTTTTTTTTTTTCCCCGTCTCTTCCGGTTGGCGAGCACAACCCCTTCTTGTGATGAACACTTTATTAGGACGACTATTGACAGACAGTCCATGAGACGCGTCTGCTTGAAATTAAACTACACTTGATCTGATTTCTTCTTCTCTTTCAACATCTGCTTTTCATAAACACAGTTCTGGCTGGGGAGTTTGCTGACACTCTCACCTTCAAAAATTAGTGGACCCGTGATGGAGAAAGCTGTCGAGTACTTCCACTACTGGTATAGAAACAAGGACAGCAGCGAAGGAGTCCAAGATATGGATATCCCTGTCGAGTTCTGCCTTGAACTCCTCGTTGCGGCGGATTTCCTGGGATTAGACAGTATGTCCTTCTGAGAACTGCTGCAGCACCCCTCCCCCATTCACTTCTCCCTTGCTAACTACCCACAGCTTAAATGCAAATGAGAATGTGTTCGTAGGCTATATTCCGAACTGCTCAGATATTGGCACTGCTTTCAAGCATGTATTGTTATGAACTAAAGCATCTTGAGATGGCATGGACATTCCGATGTACTTATTGCACACAAAGAAGATGAATGATAGAGATGATGCCTCAAATTCACTGCTCCATGAACAGTTCCCACTCCTGATACCCCATCCAAGCATATACGTTTGATCCTTTTACTCCTCCGTGGGTTAAACGTCTATTAGTGATGGAAGAGAAAACCTTACCTATCCCTCTCACTCTGCTTGAACCCACTTGCTCCATTGGATTCTCGCTTTTTTTGTAGGGTGACATTCCTTCGAAATATAGAACCTGTTTTGTAAGGTATCATAAGAGTACGTAGACAATATAAGCCTCAACCCCCATTTTTTTGCTTTGACATGCTCCCAAGAGCCTTGGGCTTTGCGATAACAATAACCTGATGCTCAATATCCGCCCCCTCCCCATCCACCACCTCTTCCACCACCCCTCCCTCGGCCCCATCCACCTCCACCCCGTCGTCCTCCTCTTCCACCTCTCCCACGATCAAACCTACCGCCGCCGCCGCCGCCGCCACCACCACCTCTCCCACCCCGTCCACCCCTCCACTGCGTCTGCGCCGGCCCCTCCATCCTCCTCTGCTCCCTCTCCACCTCACTCGCATCCCACAAATTCGGCACCTCGATCAGCTCGCAAAACGCCGCCGTCTGCGGATTCGTATACTCGTCCGCCTGCTCCGGAACCGCATGGGGCTGCCACTCCTCGTGCGGGGGCGCCGTGATAACGAAATTGTCGGGTACGTCGAGCTTGTCCTTCGCGACGATGTTTTCGTTGACCCATGCGAGCTCGGCGTCGATGAGGGGTGCGTAGTGGGCTTCGCCTAGGTCTGGGGGGTAGGAGGCGGCTGCGTCGCCGATTATGAGATCTTTGGAGAAGACGCGCGTTATGGCGAGCCATTCTGGATCGTACTGGAGGCGATAGCGGGGCGACTCGGAAGAGGGTGGGTGCTTTGCGGACTCGGCAGGGTCATGGGGGTGGACTTCACAGAGCTGGAGAAAGTGGCGTCCAGGGAGGCACTTGTCGAGGGCGAGGAAGCGGGTTTCTCGGTTCGTTATGCCCGGGGGAACGGGTTGGCCCGGCGTGCTCTTCTCCTTCTTTTCGGGCTTGGCAAAGGAGGCCGGGAGCTGTGCTCGGAGGTGGTCGGCCACTCCAGAAGAAGTTGCCTCCGTCGTTGTAGTTGCAGCAGCCTCTTCCGTAGACGGAGCGGCTAGGGCAGCGTCATCATCCATATCGAGGTCGATCTCGTCGGGGTTCGCTTGCGGTTCGGCAGCCTGCACTAGAGCCGGCGCCGGAGTGACCGGCTCTGCTGGAGTCTCTGCACTTGGAGCATCATCCACCTGCCCACCGCTCGGCGGAGGAAACCTCTTGAGCGCGGAAAACTTGCAGTGCATATGCGCCGAGAACCAGTACGGAGGTCTTAACCGATCCAGCACGTACGTAGCCGCCGGGTTCCCAAGAGTCCCATCATACGACTCCTTCTCAAAGTCCCGCTTCATCCTAAACAGCCTCTTCTCATCACCATGTCTCTCGATAAGTCTCGGCCAGTCATGGCTCATACCAATATCAACCTGCGTTCTCAACAGTAGCAATTTCCGCACATCAACCTCGCGCACATGGTAAAACGACCTCACGTCATCCCCACTAAACGGCAACCTCTCATGATGCGTCTTCTTGTAATCAAATCCCTTCCAGATACCAGTCATGCCCGCGATCCTCAGCGGGCCCACACGCAAGACGTTCGCCGGGCCCAGGTAGAAGATATTAGGCGCCACCCAGCCCCCGTAGTACAGCTCCCAGAGGTGCGAAGCGGCCTCGTGGTTCCCGCCGATGAAAAGCGTTAGGTAGGGCGCCTTGCTGCGGCCGCTATAATACTCGGGGAAGTCGCCGAGCTCTCGGTACTTGACGGGCACGGCCATGGAGTTTAGGTCCGCGGCGTTGCGCACGGCTTGGAAGTCGCCGCCAATGAGGACGACGTCGACGCCGTCCCAGCCTCGCGCTTTGCAGGACTCGTCAATTGAAGCGTAGATGGCGTGTAGTTGGCCATGGCCCTGGAACATCGAAGCTAGGTTAGTTTTCTGAAGGTAGAGATGGGCGATGAGGTGGGGGGATTTATTCTTACGCAGCCTTCAATTGCGACGCGGACACCTTGGGTGTCTATGAGCTGGATTGTCATTGTACCGGCAAACTTCAAATCCCGTCAAGAACCCAGGGTATATAGACACAAGGATTTGTGTAAAAGTAAATGAGTTTAATCTTGTTCTTCGAGTTAGAGACAAATTCAGCTCCAGGTAGGATGTCAGAGCTCGATATAAGTTTGCTGGGCTCTGTCTGCTGCCTGTCGTGAGTCACTGCCCCGAGCTGGGGATATTCCAATTTTTGAAGTACCAAAACAGACCAGGGTAATTATGGTAGCAATCAGTTTTGTGATACAGAGGGGGAATACTGTATGCAGAGCCAACGATGAAGTCGGAAGAAGTGTGAAATGGGAATGCAATTGAAGAAAGACTTGGGATCAAATGCGAGAGTTACTTAGCTTCGAGATAAACTGGGAACGAATATCAAGGGTGCCGGCTGTTAGCTGCTGTCAAACGGTGGTGCCACCCGCTATGACGCGACAAACATCCCCAGCTTCATGAGGAAATAATTGAAGTCTCATGTCCCAATCTCAGAGCCGTAAATGGCTATTTTGCGGCCAGCGAAAGTTGCTAGGATACACGGGAAGACAGTATTTTCGTGGGGCCCGTCTCAGCGGCAACTTAGGTCTCATAAAGAGAGGAGGGAGACTACGCATAGATAATCTTTTCATGACGCAATGGACGTTGTGGGCGCTAATCGAGTCTTGATGATCTGGAGAAGACATCGGACCCTTTCTTTCCTCTCTCGTCCCCTGTTAAGACGTCCCATTCAGGGTCCGGCCAACACTAGTGACTTCTACCAGGAGCCGTAATTGGCCTTTCCTCGCCCGTAGCTCAGATTCAGAGCATCTTGCAAGCCACGCTACGGCTACTGCAAAGATCGGATGAGTCTAGCTTCAATCGCTTATTCTGCCCAGTCCAACAATAAGCCTCCACCATCCATTCGTACCAGACGCTCTTGTCGTCAGTCTGGCGCCACATGCTAACCTCGATTTCCGAATCATCGGGATAGTGGAGGGGCCGCTGGTGGGAAATTTTGATTAGAGTCATTCTACCAAGAGGAAAAGAAGGGGAAGTGGGGAACTTACCTTGAGAGGGAAGAAGATGGGGAACCACGAAATCATATCCTTGCTCTTCTGGTCGATCCTTTCGGGATGCGTGCTAATCTCAACCTTGACCTTATCATCTCCATCTTTACATTCAAACAAGGTCGACTCAAAGTATCCGGCGAGACCATGAATCACCCCTCTGTTCAGACATACAAACTTGACGCGGCTGAACCTAGCGTTGTGCTCATTAGCACCGACAGATCCCTCCATGCTTCCGCCTACGCCGCCAATAAGGCCGCTCTTTCCCCTAGCTATCATCTGGTCCCAAGTGGCCTTTGGCATGGGGTGGCTAAACTCCCACATCTCCTGGAATAGAGGGTGGCCAGGGACTCCGCGCACCGCGGCAAAGTCAATCTGGAACAGACGAACGACCCAAGGGGTGTCGAATGTCGTCTTATCGGCTGTGGCGCGACTGAGGAGGTCAGAATAAATACGAGGGGTGGCGATGGGGCTCAGGTGGGCGGTGTAAGAGCTGGGAATCGAGATAGCATCCGGGGCGAGGACGTGCTGGATACCATCGAGGCATTCTGGCGACAGCTCGTTGTCGGCAAAGGAGCCAAGGAGCTCCGAGATTAAAATATCAACCTGCCCATACTTCTCAGGAGCTTCATCCAGCTTGCTCAGGAGGGGGCCTTTCCAGCTCCGCATGTCGGTTCTGACAACGGTTACTTTTCCACTCCACTCGAGGACGTTTCGCCGAAGAAGGTATACGTAGGCGTTGGGGTTTTTCTCAATAGCCCAGACTTCCACGGGAACGCCGGTGGCTCGACTGGCCTTGAGCGCTCGGTCAACGAGAGGCCCACGGCCAGAACCGGCTACCGCAACGACGACTGCGCCGGAGGCAGAAGACGTTTTACGGTTGGTTTTCTTCCACCAGCGAAGGGCCTCCATTGTGGCCGCCTCGTACTGATTATACTTGACTGGGTCGCCCTCGAAGACCTCGTAGGTAGCGGACTCGAGATTATCGGAGAGCGGCTGGAGGGGAGATTGTAGCCAATCTTGGAAGCTCGAGAGGGTATTATACTCGAGATCCGAGAGCGGCTCCTGCGTTCCCTCGATCCACCTCATGTACTTAACGTAATCGCTTACCGCAGGTTTCGAACCACCGGTCTTGACGGACCGCGAGCTGTGGGCCTCAGAAAGACTCGGGAAATCCGCCTCGCCCGGCACCTTCAAATCGAACTCTCCATCCGTTATCGATGCCTTCGCCAGTGTGGCAGCGTCAGGTCCCACATCGCACAACATCACCCAGGGGGTATTCTTGAGTGTGTAAAACTCGTGGATGAGATCCTGGTGGTCTCTGCTCAAGCAAGGGAACTTGCTCTTATTAAGCTGGAAGGAATCCTTGCTGATTGAAATGAGATGCACCGGCTCAGCGAACCAGCGTGTTTGCAGGGCTCTCTCGGGGAGAATCTTGGGCAAGCGGATGCCTAGTTTGGTCAGCACTCATAGCCCAGTAAAAGAGAGAAGGAGCAGCAGCGACAGTTAAACGTACCTACGAATAACCTAAGGCTGTACTCGCAAAAGCTCCGAATCTGGTCCCAACTATCCCAAGCGCTGAACAGATCAATGGGCCCAGCCTTCGAAGAGTCTTCGGTTCCAAGCTTGAAGGTGCGAGAAAGAGTAGCAGTCAAGCTGCTTATATTCTCCTCCAATCCTGGCTCCCGATACATGGGAATATGGATAACAAAGTTGAGCCTTGGCGCAACGTTCAAGGCTTCCTTGATAGCCCGGGAATACCTTGCCAGTCCGTCGCTACTGACGGGGGTAGTGGCATCCTGCCTCGGCCCGGGAATGATAACCGTCCTCACGCCGCAAAAGTTGGCATAGTTGACCTCTTGGTTCAGGACCTGCCGGGAAATGCTGGAGATGACGGGGCTGGGGGAACAGATATCGATCCACGGGCTACAATAAGCTGTGTAGCTCTTGGATGACAGCGTAGGGTAGAGACCGGTGTCCTCCGCGGTAATGGGCGGGACGACTGGATCCGGGATGGAAGGGGTGTGGGTGGTGTTTACGGAGACTCCCTGCTGCTCTATACTGGCAAGGTGATCCTTCGCCAAGTCTAGCACCCTATTGTGGTAGTTTCCATTGGTGATGGGGGCAGTGACAAAGGTGAACTAACATGTTTTTGTTAGAAAGATGAACATTGAGCTGGCCAGGGGCTGATTCCCATAGGTAGTTTAGTACTCACACCAAGGTTCAACAGATGCCCGTAGGCAAGATCACCAAGAGGCTGCTGTCGGATGGAATCATGCTGGCCCAGGTAGAGGATGGGGATGTTGCAATTGCCATCATTCCTCGTGGAAATATCATCCACATCAGCAGACGTAGCCATCGTTCCGTAAATATCCCCAGGATTGGTCTAGTAGATGAAGAGTTTTAGTTACAGTCGGGGATGCAGAAGGAGAAGGGATAAAGTGCCAAGTAAATAAAAAGAAGAGAGAGAGCTAGAAATAATTCTACCTTGGCTGCATTTACATACCTAATAAAATCACATAGGTGAGAGGATAAAGTGGGCAGGTGCAAAGGAGAAATGTTCCTTCTCACATTGGGGAGGGGACCAAAATTTCATCTTGGATCTTTTTCTCTCTTCCCCCCCCCCCCCCCCCCCCCCCGTAACCATAGCTAAATGTTTCCATACCATCTGCCTGGATGGAAGCCTAGTGCAAGCCAAGCTCAAGACAACATTGGAGATGGCAATCGGAATTTGCTCTCCGGTTTACAGGAGAATATATATAAGTTGTATCTATAAACAACAGGAAATGTTTGCATTTATTTGGCATCTTCTTCATCAGGTGTCCCAGCTTGATGTCCGTCTCAAGCTCTCTCTTGCTCTGCTTAGACTGAAGTATCGAATTTGATGTGCACCCAATAAACCCCAGGATCTCCTCAAACCCCACCACACAAGTTTGGTCCAAGTCTTGGATCCAGGTATGTACAATCAGTGAATACAGTACATATACTCCGTGGCTGAATGTATCTACACAGTACACACTAGGAGAGCATTTATCTTATCGATAACGATAACGATAATGATAATTTTAGCAACCGCCGCCTTTTTCGCACCTTCTACCAAAAAATTTCCCACTGTCCATCTCCTCCCCGAATCGCATCCAAACGGAAGGAGCAGGTCTACGCGGAGAGAGCGCCCAAGAACCACCATCCTCACAAACGTGCCCCACTCAGATAAGTTTCTGTTTGCAATTGGGCAATCACTGCAGGCTGCCTTGGTCAACTGGAGCAAACGCGCAGCCAAGGACGCTCCAGGCAATCAGCTCTGATTCAGACGTCTTGTTTTTTTTTTTTTTTTCTCCCTTTTATATAAACCCCCACTCCACGTCCCCCGACTCAAACCATGGGTGACAACTCAGACACCAAAGGCACAAAACGCCGCAGCGCAGAGAGTTCCGAAGATTCGAGGAAGAAGACGAAGATGGGCGGCGTTTCGTTGAAGACCGGCGGCGAGCAGTACAATCCGTACCTTGCGCATATGGCTGCCGATGGCGCATCGAACGGCGATGGCGACGTACCCGCGAACTCGCCTTTCGCGGGCTTTAAGCGCCGCGCGACAACATCTCAGCAGGCGGAGAAGGTTGAGGATATGGATGTGAATCCTTTCACCAACAAGCCTCACACAACGCAGTACTTCAACATCTTGCAGACTCGACGAGACCTCCCGGTACACAAGCAGAGGTATGTTCTGTCTTTGAGGCAGTTTCTTTGGGCCATCCTCCCCCATCATGATACTCAGTTTTGTTGCTAACTCCTATCTTGCAGACAGGAATTCCTTGACAAATATCACTCCAGCCAAATCCTTGTCTTTGTTGGAGAGACGGGTTCCGGAAAGACAACCCAAATTCCTCAATATGTCGTCTACGACGAGTTGCCCCAGCTCAACAAGAAGCTCATCGCTTGTACCCAGCCCCGCCGAGTCGCCGCCATGTCAGTCGCTAGCCGCGTGGCAGACGAGATGGACGTCGTGTTGGGTGAAGAGGTCGGATATAGTATTCGATTTGAGGATATGACCTCGTCGAAGACGATCCTCAAGTACATGACCGACGGTATGCTTCTACGGGAGGCTATGCACGATCACGAAATGTCGCGCTACAGCTGCATTATTCTCGATGAGGCCCACGAACGTACCCTTGCCACCGATATCCTGATGGCGCTTCTGAAGCAGATCGCGATTAGGCGTCCCGAACTGAAGATCATCATCATGTCGGCTACCCTTGATGCGCAGAAGTTTCAGAAGTATTTCCACGACGCGCCTCTTTTGGCAGTCCCTGGTCGAACGCACCCCGTGGAGATTTTCTACACCCCCGAGCCTGAGCGGGACTACGTCGAGGCGGCCATCCGAACGGTTTTGCAGATTCACGGATCCGAGCCTGATGGCGATATCCTTCTGTTCCTGACTGGTGAGGAGGAGATCGAGGACGCTTGCCGAAAGATTTCGATCGAGGCAGACGAGATGATTCGCGAAATGGGTTGTGGTCCTCTCGCCGTCTATCCTCTGTACGGTTCCCTACCCCCCTACCAACAGCAGAAAATTTTCGACAAACCTCCGCCTCCCCTCCGCAAAGGCGGAAGGCCTGGTCGCAAATGCATCGTGGCTACCAACATCGCCGAAACCAGTTTGACCATTGACGGTATCGTCTATGTTGTGGATCCCGGATTCAGCAAGCAGAAGATTTACAACCCACGCAGCCGCGTCGAATCCCTCCTCGTTTCTCCCATCTCAAAGGCCTCAGCGCAGCAGCGCGCTGGTCGTGCCGGTCGTACCAAGCCTGGCAAGTGCTTCCGGTTATACACGGAAGCCGCTTTCAAGAAGGAGCTCATTGAGCAGACATATCCCGAGATTCTCCGATCCAACCTGGCTAACACGGTCCTCGAGCTCAAGAAACTTGGTGTCGATGATCTAGTGCACTTTGACCTCATGGACCCTCCTGCCCCCGAAACCATGATGCGTGCGCTAGAAGAGCTGAACTACTTGGCATGCCTTGATGACGAGGGTGAGCTCACCACCCTTGGCAGCATGGCTTCTGAGTTCCCTCTTGATCCCGCGCTCGCGGTCATGCTTATCTCATCACCCGAGTTTTACTGCTCCAACGAGATTCTCTCGATCACGTCGCTCCTTTCCGTGCCCCAGATCTTCATGAGACCGGCGAACAACCGAAAGCGTGCCGACGACATGAAGGCCCTATTTGCCCACCGCGACGGAGACCACTTGACGCTCCTCAACGCATACCACGCCTTCAAGGGTCAAGCAAACAACCCCGAGGCCGATGTGAAGAAGTGGTGCCACGAGCATTTCCTTTCGTACCGTCATCTTTCCAGCGCCGACAATGTGCGCACGCAGCTCAAGCGTATCATGGAGATCCAAAACCTGGAGTTGGTATCCACGGACTTTGGTGACCCCGACTATTACACCAACATCCGCCGTTGCCTCCTCACGGGCTTTTTCATGCAAGTGGCGATGCGGAATCCTGCCGCGAAGGTATACTGCACGATTAAGGACAACCAGGTCGTGCGGCTCCATCCTTCGACCGTGCTCAAGATGGACCCCGATTGGGTCGTCTACCATGAGTTTGTCCTGACGTCACAGCAGTACATTCGCACCTGCACCTACATCAAGCCAGAATGGCTACTTGTGAGTTTAGCCCCTTCTGATCGTCCCTATCCCTCCCCCCCCCCCTTGTCCTCACCCCCCCTCATTCGTGTCCTGCCGGGACTAACGCGCACATCATTTCACAGGAAATTGCCCCTGTCTATTATGACATAGACACCTTCGAGCCCGGCGAGGTTCGTTCAGCGCTTATGCGAGTGGTCGCCAGGAGGAAGCGTCGGGAGGAAATTGCCCGCAACCCTCGTTAGTAACTACAGGTTGGCGTTTTTTGGCGTGGCGGGTTAAAAAAGGAGTTTATCAAGCGTTACTGTCATGGGAGGAATCTATCTGAACCTCGGATTGGGTCATCTGGGCGATGAGAGAAGAGAGAAGAGAAGAGAGAGCATTCGATTCCTCTCCAAGACTGCTATTAGAGATAGATTTTGTTTTCCCCCTCTGTTTTTAGAAGGCTAGTATCGCATGGAAGTAATAAAATAGAACATGAGGAAAAGACGGTCCGGCTCGCCAAGGGGGTTGTAAGATGTCAGTGATGCGCTCCCTCACGCCCATCATTCCACCACGTGTATCGTTTAACACAGTCACATGAAGCTATCTCGTAGGAACTACGAGAATCCTTCGTACGACGTAGTGGGACGAGAGATTGATCAATGGAAGTTCGTCATAGCCGAGCAGATAGTTCATTGAAGCATGCACGGTGTTACAGGCACCGGAGCCCCGTCCACGTTGACCAAAACGACAAATAATCATCCATCACCATATACTATTCCTTCGGAGCCGAACTTGAATTGCGGTTCCGCAGTCTTGCATAGAGGCGACTAGGCTGTTATTGGACAAGAACGGTTTTTGTTCTGATTATTTTTGTCATTCTCTTTTTTTTTTTCGCCTCTGTCGATCGACACTGCTCATGCCTGTTCCTAGGCTACACTATGGAAAACCCACGGACAAGCCAAGACCGAGGCGTCCCGCCACGAGTCACTGACACGAGCTAGAAGGAGGTCTGCGTAGGAGTATAGTGTATTATACTGCGGTTTTAGACATCAATTGATCCTTCTCAAGTGCCGAAACGACTACGAACTCGTGGATATGTGACGGCTTCGGACTCTCTGCTGTGGGAATGAAAGGGACGGGGCTGAGCCCTAACAAGTGAGGCTATTATCATTTCTTTACACTTTCAATGCTCCGAGTCAACCCGGCAGCTAAAGTTGGAACTCCGATTCCATGAAAGACATTCTAGATCGAGATACACGCATGGGGGAAGGCAATCTTGATTAAGAATATGACAGGTCACGGCCAAGGAGCCACCCTCTCGATCTGAAGTCTGAGTATTTTGAGCGCATCGTTCTCTGGCGGCGATAGGTTAGCATTCAGATCCCTGTGATGCCGAGGAAGGAAGGTACTTGGTAAGGAGATATCGATTGGAACTCAAGGGCAAACTTCCAAGGCGAACTCAACTACTTCGTCCGAAGTAAGCAATATGCTAAAAGTCTTGAAGGATCAAAATCAAGGACCTATCGCTCCGGATGGAACCTTGGCAGCATATACACGAAACGGAACTGCCCGTCGATACGATCGTATGATGCGTTGCATTCTGACCACAGCAAAAAAGGCCGTTTTCAATGTCGTCCAGTCTCTCGGTGCTGCGTCACCTAGGATTATGTGCATTCTTCGAGAAGAGGCAACTTAGCAGAGTGACTAAGAGGTAAGCAGTATAGTGCGAGGGGTATGTATGAAAAAAAAAGAAGGACCCCTAATCTGTGCCAGGGTTTCTTGAGGGAAGACGTCGTTGTCGGCGCATGCGCATTGCCTATTTTGGCGGGACGCAGTAAAGAGTGCGTGGTGCCGCTACCTTGGCCCTCTCATATTAAACACGATTTCCCCACCCAATACCGGCGATGCCTGCCTTTTGATGACACGGTCTCTCGAGGGACGCAATCTATGAGGTAAAAACTAAAACCTTGCTAGCTTGCTCTCATCCACATGTCTTGATTCTAACGATGGAACCAGGCCTCGGCGCAACATCAGACGGGCGCTAGCAACGACGAGGTGTACTCCGTATGTACGTGAGCCTTGAAGTTGAAAAGTCAGAGGAAAGAGCGAGTAAGCAAATTGGGTCTCGAGTGCAGCATGAAGGCATACCGGGAAGGGACTCGGGACAAGAAAGGTCTAGGACACGAGCGATGACGTACATCGGATCTTTTTGATTCCTCGCCCCGGAAGGCGCGGCCGCTGCGTATTGGAAGGAATCGGGGCTTCGAACAAGGAAGAACAAGGAAGGGCGTAGCCAAGAAACCGGCTTGGGGTGTAGACAACTTGGCAGGAAAGCCAGTTGAGGTGGTCAATCGTAGGCCCCATCTCTTGTCTTACATCTCGCGCCTCACCCATCAGCAGCTATCGCAGCTGACTCGACGGCTCCCCTGTTCTGAGGGCAGGAGCCTCGCTGCTTCGGAAGACTTCCCCAGATTAAAATCCATGCTGTGGCACACACACACACACACACACAATATAACCTAATACACAGTTAGAGGAAGTGGCAACTGGCGGGAGGCAATGGAACCACTTCCCCGGCCGCTGACAGACGCACTCCTGCTTCATCAAGCAGACGGGAAGTTGCACACCTTGTAGGTACCATATAATGCCAAGAAAACATCTAATCCAAATATAGAAGGGTTGAGTCTTGATTAAACCCGGTTCAGGTATCTAGGGATCAATGTAATCAATCTCTGTGTCGGAGACCTTGCCTCCCCGCGGAATGGAAATGGACACGGGAGAAAAGAAAGAGAGTCGCATGCCCCAGAACTAATAAGCGCCCTAGCCAGCCAGCCTGGTAGCCAATGTTGCCAGTCACGAGACTTTGGGTGACCATCTGTTGTGGAGGACAGGGAAAGGCGAAGGTGAAAAGGAGTGAATCTTATAACCAGGAATGACCTCTTCTCAATGTGACTACCAGTGCGGATCGTTCTGCCTACGGAGCACAATTGTAAGAGGCACCTTCACAAAGCTCAGGACCTTGACTCCAAGTTATTTCATTGACGAGTGGAACCTGTTTAATCTGCCTAATGCTGCGGGCGAGAAATCGGAGGATATGCCTCCTGGAATCATAGGCCGGACGGATATACAGATACGGAATACAGAAAAGACAGGTCCTCTGCATTAAATGCGGGAGGAGAAAGAGCCGCCCACTTCGCTTTTGATCCACCCCCAAGTCCGTTGATCCGTGCTTGAGGGCACATGATACAATTAGTAAAAAAAAGCGACATTGAGCCACCTGTGCATTTGATGAAAAGTGAGGGAGGTACGATGCAGAGATTTACTCGGGTCTAAGTGTCCTTCCTTCCTCCAACGAAACCCCGTCGTGGTCATGGGCGGGGAGGACACTGGAGAGGGCAGGAAAGACCCACCCCTCACGGCCTGCTCCGGTCCGATTCGGCAAGTGTTGGGACTGGTTAGATAGAATGGCAGGCGCATGGTGGAAGAGCAGAATAATAGGTCAGCGGGAATATGTGGTGGAGGGAAACGCGTCAATATTGACGTCGATATCTCGATGTTTCGTCTACGCCAGTCGATTCGAGCGTCATACATGCACAATCAACTACCCTCTCATACGTCTCACGGATGCAGTCATATCGATAGTCCAAAACGTCTGTCAAATGTCCTCTCGAGCTCCACCAGGCTTCCAATGGATCTTCCCGTGCTAAAACGGATGCAATGCATGCCACTATTCTATAACGACACTAGAGGAGCGTCCGAGATGCACTTGATCGAGACCTGGCCCGATTTTCCTCCTTAGTACCTCGCTACCTACACTACGAAGTCTGCTGCAGTGTGGTAATCTCAGCACTTGGATTTGCCCCATCCAGTCTTAGTTTGAGTCGATCCTCGACTTGGATGGCCCGTCTTCCCGCCGCTATAGGTCGTCAACCGAGACTTGACCCGTCAATTCGAAGACTCAAATCAGCCTTATTGGGGACTAAGCGAGACTCCAGGCTTTGCCTGCCGTGGGTCTGGCCTGGCCTGGCCTGGCCACGGCCGTGCCCGACCGACCCCATTTGAAGCTTGGCTGCTGGAACATCGAACATCGAATTTCGAAGTTGCCTTTCGCCCCGCGTCTCCCGGAATCACGCATTTTGCGCTGGTGCTGTCGGCGTCGGGTTGCATCGTCACCCGTCGTCACCCATCACCCGCCACCTGTTCCATTGTCGGGGGGGCCTTTTCAGCAAATGAACGACGTGTGAAAGGTACGAGGATACCAACAACGCCGAGGTGCTGATTGTTGATTATCAATATGCCTGATTTTCGCTTTCAACACTCGATCAAAACAGTAACTGTACATATACGAGGCCAGGCTTTCTCGGCAGAGGGTGTGTGCGTGTGGTGGATGGGGATGTGGATGTGTGAGACTCCATGCCGTTTCCAGGTTCTTCTCCCAGGCAAAATCGTCGATGCTCTCTTCCTTCAACACGACGCGCACCTCTCTTATTGCGGCGAATTTCCCGGCGATCGTTCAGCTGGAGTTTTGTCCTACTCCCGGAGGTATTTTTGAATAAACTTTGTTGATCGATTCAAATTCGCCGTATGGTGCATTTCCACGATGGAAAAAGCAATGTCTCGACAACCCTCTCGTTCTCGAAACAGCTCTGTGGCGTGTGTGGGGGAGGAAAAGTGGGTAAAATGGAAGACCCATGATATGCAACGGCTCACAGGCGAGACTGCCTGCTGCGTAAGACCTTGCCATTTTCATTCCCTTTCCGTCTTCTGCCACATTATTTTCTCTCTCTTCTCTTCTGACAAGCTGCTGCATGCGACCCTCCAAGTTGACCCTCCTAGTCTAGTCCCCTTTTGAAAGTGCCAAAGTACAAGTATGATGCGAAAGCAGTCAGTTTCCAATAGGAGTTCCCGCGGCCTACACTGCACTACACTACCTCCTACGCAAAAGAGGAAAGTTGAGCAAAGCAGAAGAAGCACGTTACCGCACTAGGACGGAGGACCACTTTTCTAAGTCGAAAACATGAGTCGCCGTCCGCACTACTCCGTACTTGTATCTCGTCTTGTTTTCCCTGGTCGTAAAGGCTGTTTAATATTGTTTTCTCCATCCCATCCCGTCAAAAACTGCACACGACCTCCCCCAAGCCGAAAGAACACGGAAATTACGGGGCCGCGTCGATACCGTCTTGCAAGCCGCATACCCATGGATGTGGCTAGGGAGAGCCGGTCGGGGGCCCTTCTGCCGAGAGTTAACGCATTGGACATCCTCGCTCAAGTTTCGAAGGGTCCAGTCCGGACCCGGCCTAGGTCGTCGGTGCTTTGGTGCATCTCGGGTCCTCTCTCGATGCAACCGCGGGTCTATAATAGTAGCATTGGGAGCAGTTTTGCCAATGAGAGAGATCCAACGTCCCTTTGTCCATCGTATCCGTTACAACTTGCTTCCAAGCCCTAAAAAACACAGCATTGGGCGATAATATTGCTCATCCCCATGTGGCCTGTTATACAAACGGCCTAACACCACTTTTCCCTCGTCCGGTCCAAGTCTTGGGCCTATCTTGGACCTCACTACGCGCACCCGTCCGCCTCCAACGCCATGGGTGGGCGGTGGCTAGCTGTAACAAATCCCTTATGTACGGACGCAAGGCGTGCCTCGCGTCTGCATCGGGATTTAACCTCACCCCACTCATGTCCTTGTCGAGGAGCAGATGTGGACCACGCCCGGACTTTATTCCTTTGAAGGAGGCATGGGCTTCTTCTTCTTGCTCCGATCTACTTCTGCCGCTGCTGCTGGCTCGCTTGCTGACCACCCAACCAACAAGAAGAAAGGCGATAGGTCCTCGGATGTAGATATGTATTCCGAATATATATAACTCCCAAGTGGAACCCGAGCTCTCGTGTCATGTCATGATGCCATTTCTCTATCTTCTCCCTTGTCATCTCATCCTGTCCTCGGAATCCTTCCATCCTTCTCGTCTTATCATTTTTCTTCTTCTTTACACGTTATATCGCCTTCGCCGCTGATTTTCCAAATCTGTAACCGAAGCCAATTCCGTTACCACGGCCCTGGGCTTTCTGGCTTATATACGTATATATACAACTCCCTCCTCCATCCTCCTTGGGGCTCGTGACCCCCATTAGCCTCATATCTTCTCTCTCTTTCCACGATTCACCCATCACGAACCGGCTTTCGGGATCTCCCTGCTTTCCACAAGCAGTTAAAACCGCTTCACTGCCAGCGGGTAGTGGCCTTTATCATTTCGATTGATCTACTTCGCCTCTGTATCAACTAGCTTGTTTTATAACTCTACCAACTTCGTATATCTTAATTTCCCTTTTCTCTTCCTCACCTTTTACACTATGGCTACTAGCCTGAGTACCGGCGGCGGTTTCTACAAGTACAGGTGCAAGTACTTTTATACCAAGTCTTGCCAGAACTGGGTCTACGTCAATGGCGAAGCTTGCATGCAATGTCTTGTAAGTCCTGTGCCTTTGTCCCCCACCACTCTAACTCTCTTTTGCTCCTTCCTAGCAGCACCATGGCAAGAGGATTCTAGAAGAAGACCATGAAGCTAATCCGTTCCGTAGGCTGACGGCTGTGATGCCCATGAGCATGAAGACGATGACGTAGCGTCCCACTCAGAGGACATGTACGTCCGTTTTCAGGAAACCGACGAAGCTCACCGACGTGGGTCGATTCCCTAGGTGTTTGGCGTTTAATCGAAAAGAAAAGGAGGGGAAATGGTTTTCTTCTTTCTTCTTTTTTCCTCTTTTGGGTCTGTCCGTGTCGCAAGACGTGGATAGCCTGCGGACACTTTCGGACATGAAATGGCGCCCTAGAGATTGTCTTTTTTTCTTTCTTTCTTCTTCTTTTCTCTCTTAATACGGGGACGGGAGTTTATGCTTGAGCGACCTACCGCAGTCGATGCGGAACGGTTTTAGTAATGACCAAATTGTCAAGGAAACGAGGTAATATTGGAACAACCCGGATGGGAGTGGAAATTCGGGAGGGGGACGAAAACAAGAGCCGCGGCAGACACTCACGGGTTTCCGCGGATGAGGCTCGCGCGAGGTTGACCTATTTGCAAGTCGGAAACGAGACCACAGACGTGAAAAAACATACGACGGCGGCCTGCCGGGAAACGAAAATGGACGATTTGAGGGGAAAAGAGAACAGATCTGGATCCCGACTAATAATAGCTAACGCAAGCCAACGAATGCTGGGTCGGGGTGGGGGTCCGGTGCGGAGATGATGAGTGCTTGTTTTGACGATGGGGTCTGTGTTTTAATTCGCAATCTGGTGCTCGTGTTGAGCTCAGTGAACTAAATCTTCGGTAATTTGCACACCAAGGGAGTTCTTGGCTTGGACATTAGGGTAGCGATCTTCTATTTTTCTCGGTTTCTTTCTATTTTTCATCACGTAGCTAGCATCTCTTCCTTCTTTAATTAACTTGACGACTATTTCATGACCTTGAGAAAAACGTGCCCGACGGTGTACTTCGTATAAGAGACCCCGGAGCATGACAGAAGCTGAATTGAACCAAGGCTTTGACATATTCGTGGCGTGTCCCGCACACTTCTATAGTTAGCATCTTAGGAAGCGAAGCGCCCCAACGGCTTCTGCAACCTCGACGGCCCCAAACCTCAGGGGGCCCCCTGGTACGTCGTACGAAGGAAGAGACTGGCTCTGCTCAGGTGCATGCCCGAAGGTGGTTTGGCAGTTTTGACAGCGTAACATTGCAGGAAAACAAGGATAAACGAGGGACTGTTGGTTATAGATCGCACTGATCTCTTTTTCCCTTCACGGTAATAAGGCTTTTTTTCCCTCCTTCGAGGTGGTTTTGCCCTTCGGCTAAAAAACCCTCGAACAGACTGTCGGGGCACAAAGCCGAGTTTCCCCGGAACACGCCCCCTTCCCATGGTTGGCGGAGATTACCCAACGAAGAGGGCCTCGATAATAGATGTGATAGATCATTCTCGACTAACACAGAATCACATCATGGCTCACCTTCCATGCGCCGCACTAGATCCACGTGAGACGAGTTGTGGGGTGCAGTGACAGGACCGGGGGGGCAGTGACAGGACACAGGACGGTGGGGGGGAGGCAAGAGCTGGGCATGGATGGGCCTATTGCACCAGCCTTGGAGCAATGAAGTCAGTGACATCATGCAGAACTTGCAGAGCCAGAGACAGGGGGGGACGTCATCACCACCTCGGTGTGCGGTGTGGCTATCTAACCGAGCTTTCCGATAAGATGCTTGACAGGTGAGCAGGAGGAGCAGGCGCAGGGAATAACGCCGAGAAGCAAGGGTCTAGACCAGTCAAGTGGAGGAGCTGTGAGGGTTGCACCATCCGTCGCGATCTTAGCGAGACCAACCATCGTCCACAGCCAGCTCACCGGGCTCAGTTGATCGACGGTGACTTCAGCTGAATGGCGTCGGCCGTCACATCACATTTTTAAGCTTCTCGCTTATTTCCTTGCTAATCGTAAAATGGGCGTTTCGTAGATCTGGCTGGCGCAGTTAAGCCACGTGCAACGCTAAGGTCTAAACTGTAGGTGTGTTAGCGCGTTCACATTTTCGATAAACTTGCAGGAAGGGAAATAGACTTATCCCCAAAACAGATGGAGGGTCGCGCCCTCGCCATTTCTGGAGAGGGCGCGACCAGGACTACCAACCTCATGGCCTGTCCTTGTCCAACAAAAGAGGCTGTGCCAAAAAAAAAAGAAAAAGAAAAAGGAGGGAGCCCTAAAACTTGAATGGTCCCGGTTGCCCACACCCATTCAGAAAGACTAGCAGATGAACCATCCACGAGTCCCAGCGAAGCACCAAGCTTCAAAACACCAACCGTTCGTTGGGTTCCGGAACCGCTTCAGTCGCTCATCCGGCCACGACCTTCCTCCTGAATACGAGGCCGAAATCAAGCCAGTCCGGAGAACCCAAGTAGCAGTTTTGCTCGAGACCGGTTCGATGATGCCATCAATGAGCCAGAGACGTCATCGCCCCACGCCAACCCTAATCCCACAGCATAAACGCAGGTACCAAAGCAGAATCTAGTAGGACCGACGAAAGCCTTCTCCGTATGTACGCAGTGCCAACGAAAGACGTGTTCTTGTTTCCTCTCCGTCGAAGGTCGTTGATAAGGCCAGACGGAGGGCTGGTTCCGCACGGACAAAAACGCCCAACAAAACCCGTGCTATCATCTCTTGTCTCGCTTATTTGTGGGTCCGATAAAGAGGGAAATTTGCCCAAAAGGGCGGAGATTTGGCGTCCCCCTACATCATGGGACTAGGCAACCATGACTTGGAAGTTAATGCGCTGGCCAGACCACATGGCAAAACATGACACGCCGTAACAACTGTCACGGCGAGGCCTAGAGCGCAGTCATCCGAGTTGGGAGGTCCACGTCGAGAATGCGCGTCCACCGTTAATGGCTTCCGGGTTTGTGTCAGAAGATGCAGGGTACGGAGGGCCTCGCACAGGCTGTGTAGTGGCAGAAAGCCACAAATCAGGGTTGAAAGATGTCATTTCTGTATGTAGCTGAGGGTGCCTCGCTCACAAGGCTTGATTGAAAGACCAAGTGATTCGGGCGAGGCAACCCACGCAAAGGCGATTGAAATGAACGGAAGTCCTGACCGTGTGTAGCCGAGCCGTGCCCTACCCATTCTCTTCAACCGCACACCAAACGCCACAAGTGTAGGCAGGAGGATCCCGACCTATGGGGCAAGTTTAGACCTCGGAAGGATACGCATTCGTCGACATTTCCCAGACCAGTCGAGACTACCCGCTTCTCTAGAACGGTCTCTTGGTGGCCTACGTCAAACTCCAGCGGAACAGACCTGTTGAGCGACCTCAGACCAGAGGCTCTTACCCGCTTTTGACTCAAAGACCTGCCCTTTCACACACCAGAAAGCCGGTGACTGGATTGTTTCTCTACCGCTGGTCCTTCCTCCAGACGCCCGAATCCACGGGACCACTTTTCAGCGGCGGCGCGGTAGGGTGGCCTAGGTGAAATAAACAGCAGCTTCGAACAGACGAGGAGCGCAAGACTTTGAGCGAACCAAGGTACGCTATTAGGGTTAAGTTCCGAAACACATTCCCTCATTAGACCGTGCCAAGCTTGTTTCCAAGCATGACGCGGCACCAGCAATACTTGATACCGCAGACAAAGAGGTCCCGATCCAGGCTCTAGGGCGGCGTATTGACAGGGTCCCAGCCTTTTTGAGAGGCCCACGATGGACATTCCCCTTTCGGGGAAAACATGAGTCGGAGAACTGTGGGGGAGGCGTCGTGCGTGGAAATGTGCGAGGCGTGTCGCGAAAGGGCTTTCGTGTCGGTCGGTTCGAATTTGCTTAGCCATCTGTTTAGGCTGTATGAGAGGAAATTAGAGCGATGGTGAGGCTCAGGCAAAGACTCCCAAGCACCGATCGAGGGCTGCGGTTTCGATCATGGATTGACGCCTGTGCGTTGGTAGAGGTAGAAGGAAGTTGGTGTGACCAAAAGCAACAGAGGAACCGCGTTTATATTTTGCTGGGCTTATGGAAACCGACGCGCTATCACGTGATGAACACCGCAAACTTGGAATTTCCCTTGAAGCGTGTCCGGCGTGTGGGGGCGTGTCACGAGATTGTACGCGCACTAGATTAAGATCAGCGGGCAGCCTCGGTTGAACAGTGCACCTCATTAAACACATAAATCTTCAGCAACTCAAGCAAATGAGGCCATACATGAATATTAATCTGCAGCAATCTCCATAATTCATCTGCAGAAAATCTGCACAGGGGTTATGAGGTCATACTCGACCCAGATCCAAGCGCAATCTACGAAGGTATGCAGATAGGACCTTGGGGAGGCGATATTCGTCAATTGATGGATGCGCCTCGCTCTCCAGCTTAAGAGCGGTCGCTTCCTCGGCTCCGCATTTCTGAATTTCTGGGGGAGAACTGGGGACGAATCAACAGAGGCGCAATTCGAAATGTCCAACCTGGGAATCTCTCACAGAATTGCCAGCTGTCCACTTATTAACTCCAGACGGAGTGTTTGAACTATGAATTAGTGCAACTGCGCTACTTGGCGCCCCAGATTCACATGGGAAAAAAATTCACAAAAATGACCGTAGTGGTTGTCGGGACGGAGACGGGGTCTCAGAAGGGGCTCTTATCTCCGCGTAGTGCGCCATTAGTGTGCTTCATCCGCATAACCTCCACTAAAAAAAAAAGCCCGTAGGGGCCGTAGTGCAGCCCAACGTTCGACCTCGTGCTGTTTTCTCGTCTCCTCAGCCGCACCAACGCAAACACATGCCTCGGCTTGGTGGGCGCCTTCTCCGGATTCCCTCCAGCGACCCATTACACTAAATACCCAAACGGGTGCTGGCATCTCCTTGTCGTGACACCTTCTCTTCTCGCCCCCATTTGTCGCCTCCCCTCTCCTTTTCCTTCCCGTCTCCAAGACTTTTACCCCAGATTCTGCGCAAGGTGTGTATGCTACCCCCGGTGGCGCGCCCCCTGTTGACAAATTTCTGCAAACCGGACAGCTTGTTGAACCGGTTCAGACTAACAAACGTTCGAAGGTATTATAGGTTCTCCCGGAATAGTCGACACGATTGTTTTCTTAAGCGTAGATCCTGACGAAACTCCTTCGAATATAGAATAGACCATCATCATGACCGCCCCCCGGGTCTACTCCGACCGCGCCATCCGCGAAATCGCCATCCCTCCTCCTCCGGGCTCCGCCCACGCTGTCCCCGTTGCCGGGACCGAGAGGGCAGATCGCACTCCCATCTACAGGCACTGGCGATTCCGCGATGGACCTCTCCTCACCACATACGACCCCTCGATCCAGAGCACCTATGATCTTTTCCAGGATGCCGTGAGGAAGTTCCCCAACTCCAGGTGTCTTGGCACCCGGCCTTGGAACGCCCAGACAAAGACGTGGGAGAACAAGTACGTTTGGCAGACGTACTCGGACGTTAACAAGCGAAGCAAGAATCTCGGTGCTGGACTTGTCGAGATCCACAAGAAGATCGGTATTACCGCCGACAAGTTCGGTGTTGGCTTGTGGTCGCAGAACCGCGCCGAATGGCAGATTGCTGGTATGTCGAGCCCCGTGTTCCCCCTCCCCCCCCAATTCTTTTCTCGTTTCCCGGGGGTTCCGTCTAGTTTCTAACGCGCGAATGCCTTTTAAAGATTTCGGTATCGTATCTCAGTCTCTCTACACCGTCTCCCTGTATGAGACTCTCGGCCCCGACACTACCGAGTATATCATGAACCACGCCGAGCTTACCAGCGTCCTCTGCTCGTTGCCCCATATCCCCACTCTCCTCAAGCTTGCCCCGCGCATTCCGACGTTGAAGATCATCGTCTGCCTCGACTCGATGGAGGCCGGTGAGCAATCCGGACACACTAAGCTTGAGGTCCTCAACTCCATTGCCGCCCAGAGCGGAATCCAGGTCTACTCCTTGGCCGGCGTTGAAGCTCTTGGTGCCGAATCCGGAAGGCAGCCCGTTCCCCCTCGTCGTGAAGACATCGCCACCATCAACTACACCTCCGGTACCACCGGCGTGCCCAAGGGTGTCGTCCTCACCCACGGTAACGCCGTTGCTGCCATTTCTGGAGCTCGATCTGCCGGCACCGTAGGCCCCAAGGACGTCCACATCTCTTACCTTCCGTTGGCGCATATCTACGGCAGGATGGTCGATATGACGGCCCTTGCCGAGGGTGCCTGCGTCGGCTATTTCCACGGTGATATCGCCGGACTTGTTGACGACATGAAGCTTCTCGGCCCCACAGGATTGATGTCCGTACCGCGCCTCTTCAACAAGTTCAACTCGGCGCTCCGAACGGCCACCGTCGAGGCCGAGGGCGTCAAGGGAGCTCTCTCGCGCCACGTCATCAACACGAAAAAGGCCAACATGCGAAAGCCCGCCGGCTCCGCCTCCAACACCCATCTCCTCTACGACCGCATCTGGACCCCCAAGGTCCGTGCCGCCGTCGGCCTACAGAGGTGCCACAGCATGGTCAGCGGAAGTGCCATGCTCGACCCCGACGTGCACGAATTCCTCCGTGCCGCTTTCGGCAACTCGTTCGCGCAGGGCTATGGTCTAACGGAGTCGTACGCCGTCGCCTCGGTCCAACTCCGACAGGACTTCACCATCGGCAACGTCGGCCCGCCGGCCCCCTGTGTTGAGGTCTGCTTGGAGTCGGTCCCTGACCTTGAGTACTCGGTGAATGACAAGCCGTGCCCGAGGGGTGAGCTCCTTCTTCGTGGCCCCTGCATTTTCCGCGAATACTACAAGAACGACGAGGAGACCAAGAAGGCGCTCGACGCCGACGGCTGGTTCCACACGGGCGACATCGCGGAGATCGATAGCCTCGGCCGCATCAAGATTGTCGACCGCAAGAAGAACGTGCTCAAGCTTTCGCAGGGAGAGTACATTTCCCCCGAGAGGATCGAGAACGTGTACACGGGCAGCACCACGCTCGTGGCCACGGCGTACGTCCACGGCGATCCCACGCAGTCCACGCTCGTGGCCATCTTCGGCGTCGACCCCGCCATCTTTGCGCCCTGGGCTAGCAACATTCTCAAGAAGCCTGTCGATGCGGCCGATGTGGAGGGCTTGAGGGCGGCGGGTGCTGACCCTGCTGTGAAGAAGGCGTTCCTTAAGATCCTTGATGGTATCGGTAGGCGTCACAAGTTTAACAGCTTCGAGAGGGTTCGCAATTGCCTCCTTCTCGTCGATCCGTTCACCGTCGACAACGAGCTGTTGACGCCAACGTAAGTGCAACTCCTTGGCCCTGTGTTGTTGCTTTCTTTTATACTGACCTTTCTTTTCTTTCTAGTCTTAAGCTCAAGAGGGCGCCGGTAGCCAAGGCGTTCAAGGCGGAGATCAGCCGCATGTACGAGGAGATCGCAGCCGATCCCGCCCTCACGGCCAAGGCTAAGCTGTAAAAGCCGTGGGCGGGTAATTCTTGTGGAGTATCATTCTCGTTGATATTGTTTCAGTCTTCTGGGGCTGCTTGTATGTTTATGGTGGTGTAGAAGGCATCCTCTTTGCATCCTCTTTTTTGTTTGTCCTTTCCATAGGTCTCTGGCATAGGTCGGGGCGATGAGTAGCATGTCTAGACATATCATGTTTAGGTATAAATAAAACTCCAAACTTTGTACAAATCACGCGATTTTTTTTTTTTTTTCCTCTTTCTTTCTTTGAAACATGTTAGAGACATGCCTTCTTCCGGCGGGATACGAGGATGGAAGAGGACACTTACAGAGATGCAAGGAATTTGAGAGAGAGTCGCGATGGAATTCCACAAGCGAGAGAAGTCAGAATCAATTCGGGTAACATAGAGCCGCGCTCACATTATTATTTCGTGTCGGTCGTTTCATTGTTGGAGTGCAATCCCATTCCCAAATCCCGCAACCAACACAATGTTGCAAAGGATAACGTCGCCGTGGGGTCTGTGTTGACACATTGGGGCGTGTGTGTAATTATCGCCAAATCTGACTGACTTTGGACTGTTCGGACTTCGTAGCCTGATTTTCACTCGTATTTCCCCTTTTCATCCTTTTCTTCCTTTCGTATTCTTCGTCTTCGAATAAACAAACCACGAGGAATTTTATTTCAATTGGCAAGTGTACGACAGCCTTGGCGATGATGGAAGAATAAACGAAAAGGAAGGGGAGCAAAAAAAAAAAGAGAAAACCAACAGGAAAGGGAAAAGGAGACAGACAGGAGAAACCAAGCAGAAGAAACGACAAGCAAAACGAAAGTTCAGACCGCCAGAGCTACGCAGCTCCCTTCTCACACGCGACAAACTTCCCCCAAAAACATCTCATGACATGATTATTACCCAACGACGAGCGTGGCGTCTCCTCGCCCTGCTCACCGTCATCCTTGCCGCTGCCACGTTCATCTTCACCTTCGTGCCGCGGGTCCTGGCCTTTGCCCAATTATTCGGCGTCTTCGGCGAGCATTCCGGCACCAAGATCACGCAGGTCGAGATCGCTACGAGGGGAGCAGACGGTAGAGAGCCCGTCGTGCCAAGGATCCTGCACCAGATCTTTCACAATTGGCGTGATCCGAATGATGATAGGCTTCCTGAGGATTGGGAGGAAGCGCATCAGACGTGTGTTTTGTTGAATCCCGAGTGGGAACACAAGGTGAGTTTTTTCTTCTTTTTTCATTTTTTTTGCTTCTCTCTTTGGCTGGGCTAGGTTAGGCAAGGGCTTCGAAGCCTAGTCTCTCATTAAAGATATGATGCGATTCCGTAGCGCTATAACATGACCACAGCTGACATTTTTCAACAAAAAAAATATAGCTGTGGACGAGCAGGAATTCGAGGAAATTCATCGAGGAGCAATACCCCTGGTTCCTCCCGACTTACGATGGGTACAGATATCCCATCCAGCGAGTCGATGCCCTGAAGTACTTTATTCTCCGGCATTACGGGGGCATTTACATCGACTTGGACAATGTGAGTAAACCACGAGGGGCTCGCTCGTCCGCCTTCCCCTTTTCCCGCCAACTCCGATCCACCACGGAAGAAAAGAAGGACAAAATATGAAGAATATAGGGCGAAAGAAAAAAGAAACTAACAAACTCCAGGGATGCGCCGAAAGCCTTGACCCATTGCGGTACTATCCCGCCTTCACCACCGACGGCGGCATGGGCGCCCTCAGCAACAACATCCTCGGCGGCCAGCCCGAACACCCCTGGTTCCACCTCCTGACCAACAACCTCATCCCCTACGACTGGAACTGGCTCTTACCTTACGTCGTCGTCATGTACTGCACGGGACAGTGGTACGTCACCGCCATCTTCGAAAAGTACCACTCGTTGCTGGCCGCCGACGGTACGGTCCGGGGATTCGACGGCGTGGGGTGGGCGCCGCTGCATCATATCCTGATGGACGGACGGCCCGGCGCGGACCCCTGGGTGTTTTTCACGCAGGTGAGGGGGGGATCTTGGGATGATTGGGATAAGGCGATGTTTGATTGGATTGGGGACCATATTCTTTTGGTCATTTTCGGGGTTGTTGGCTTGGTTGGTTTGGCGGTTTGGAGGTGTTGTTGTAGGAGAGCGCCTCGGGACTTGAAGTATCAGAGGCTTCCCGATTGAAGGACCACATCACACCGCTACTGTAAGAAAGAGGATATATATGTTGTATGATTATTCACAATGCAAAAGATGTCATTTTTCTCCCACTTTTTCTTTTATTTTTTTTCCTGCACTCCTCCCCTGGAGCGGTGGGCATGGTGAAATGTATCCAGAGTTTGATGCCAACCAACTTTATTCCAGGCTCTGCCTAATGATATTTTCCCCAGTCTTGATCACCAACGTTGGAACATGTTCTACCTCTTATCTCAGAGCTCACTGCCAGTCCTCCTGTGCAAGCGCACGTGGGAAGGCCGCGACGCGCAACTCGTTCCCCCTGGTTTGTTACACTCACACCCTCAGAGTCCTTCGACCCACTCCTAGCCCAAACCTTACTTCGTCTTTCAAAACCGAGACAGCGAAATAATAATACGGCGTATTACGAAGGAGTTCATGACTATTTAATACTGCTTCAATGAAGAGAGTCCCTGCCATGTGCTGCAAAATTGGATTCTGCCGGCCGCCAGGTAATTAATACATGAGGTAGTAAGCTTGAGGAGGTCTCCTCCATATAAGCACTCAAGCCCGCACATTTCTAGGTTTCCCCCTTCATCTCAAAAGAAACACGCTTCCGAGCATTACCTAGGATTGACGTGTGCCCGAGGTCGACGATGTTGCCTGATATCGTCGACAATTCTTCCGCCTGGACCCCGAGTAACGCCCAAAAGCCGACGCCTGACCGAAAGCACGAATGGATATCTACTGCGTAGCGTATGGCTCTCTAAATGTCGGGCCCATGAGTAGCCACCACGCATGAAAAGAGAAGACCGAAGAGAGTGACAGGTGAGACCACATGATAGCAGACTTCATGTGCCATCTTCGAGGTAGATGAGTGTGCGCGTCTTTTTAGTAGTGAGTAAAGAGGGCGGAGAATGGGAAAGATAAAAAGAATCGATCGCCATACGGTTGGAGCGGATGATACAGCGTGGACTATTCCTAGGAGGATGTACACAACTTTCCGGGTGAGACTCTCTCGCCGCCCATGCTGTCTTCCGTAGTAAAATTCAGCAGACACTTGCAACTTCAAGATTTGATTGAGACTATACTCGTTATCGACGGTTACAACGGCAATCCTCAAGTAAAAACGAATGAACCATATTTCCGGCTCGTAGCATAAGAGGGCAAGCGTCAGGGAATAGAAATACATCTTATCTTTTTTTTTTTCTCTTTTTTCCATTTTATCTCATCTCGCATCAGTGCCTCAATAAAGCATATAGAGAAGGCATTCCGTCCCTTAGGGGGGTGCTGTGGTACTTTCTGAATAAAACTTGGAATAAGAAGAAAACAAAATAAACTAAGAAACCGCCATATGACGGATTGGGGTATATGAGGACCAGACCAGACATTACTCTCGTACACTTTCAAAAATAGACTTAAAGAAACCGGCGGCAGGATTAATAGTAACGAGAACGGGTAAAAAAAAAAATGAGACAGAACGAAAGAACAAAGCGCATTGCATCCTCAGCTCATGACCCCCTTTAAATGTGCTCAACGATGCGGGCGTTTATAGCCTGCTGAAGGCCGGGGTTCGTCGTGCTGAAATCGTGAGCAAAGTCGGCGACGCTCGAAGCCTCGCCGTCCTTGTTGAAGACGGTGCTGTTGGGCATGGTCTGGTTGGCGGCGGGCAGGAAGATGACCTTGCTGTTGGCGGACTTGGCCATGGACTGCATGGCCTCGAGGTAGCGGATCTGCATGGCGGGAGCGGACGAGAGGATGTCGGCAGCCTGGCGCATGAGCTTGGCAGCCTCAACCTGTTGGGGGTTGTGGTGGTTAGCATCGTAATTCTGGGACAATCAAGAGAGAAAAAAAGTACCTCAGCCTGGGCGGCGATAATCTTGCTCTCACCAATACGCTTGCTCTGGGCCGCCATGGACAGACTCTCCTGAAGCTCCGAGCTAAAGATGATGTCCTTGATGAGCATGCTCTCAACCTTGACACCCCACCCAGTAGCAATAGTGTCGATTATCTCGCTGATGGAATTGGCAATCTCCTCGCGGCGCTCGATGACGTCCTGGAGGACGCGGGCACCGACGACGTGGCGCAGGGTGGTCTGTGTACGCTCAATGAGGGCCTGGCGCACATTGGAGATGCCAAAGGCGGCCTTGTGGGGCGAGATGATGTGGTAGTAGATGACGGAGTTGAGGTGGAGGGTGACGTTGTCCTTGGTCATGCAGGTCTGCTGGGGTACTTCGGCGATTTGGATCTTGACGTCGACCTGGATGAGTCGCTCGCTGAGGGGGTTGACCTTGACGAGGCCCGGGTCGACGGCCTTGTAGAACTTGCCAAACTTGGTGACGAGGCCGACATGACCCTGGCCGACGGTCTTGTAGGGGTTGGGGAAAGGACAGCAGGGGACGGCGCCGATAGCTCCGATGCAGACGCCCAGCCCATTGACTTGAGGTGAGAAAAAGACGTGTTAGCGAGTAGAAATTCTAAGAGAAGTTCTAGACCATGGGAGGGAGCTTCTTCTGGCGCCGGGCAGGGATTCGACGCGCTTTCGAGACAGAATTAAGGAACATCAAGCGATAAAGAAAACTTACTCATGGAGCCATACCAGCCCTTGGGGTTCGCGTCGGAATCGACAATGGTGGCATAGCTGCGCTGTAGATCCTGTTGGCGGGGAGGCACGACCTCCATGGCGGGTTGGGGCTGGAAGCCCTCATCGTTATGATCATGCGCTGGCTGCTTCCCCGCGCTGGCGGCGGTGCTGCCGTTGATGGAGTGAACGGCGGGCGGCGCGCCAGAGACGCCTTCGGCTGCCGTACCGTAGTTGACGTTGGACATTGTTGCGTTGGGGAGGAGAGTCGATGATGTTTGGTAGAAACGTCAATGTATTGACGGCGGGTGTCTATGATGGGGTGGATGGAAGTTTAATGACGTTTCAATGCTTATTGTTTGTGGAGACGTTTAAACTATTAATGAGGGGGACTGGGTTATTTATGGGTGTTTTGAACCGGAGACACAGGAAAAGAAACAACAACGGGGTTCGTGCGTTCGAGATTGGCGTGGGAGTGGTGGTGCGACAGGGTGTGTTTAAGTATCAGATGGTGTCGAGGCCTCAAGGTGTCAAGGTGCCGAAGGAGCCCAGCCAATTCTCAGCCGGATCCGGGATCTGCTTGGTAGGAAACAGGCGAAGCTCTTGGCGGCGGGGTGGGGAAAGGATCGAATCGGATGCGTCAAGGTGGTGTGAACAGCAACGGCCAGTGTGAAGTGTGAAGCCAATGTGAGCCGTGAAGGTGTGGAAGCCTGAATTGATCAGAGGTAGCTTTGCCAGCAACGGTCGTTCCTGCCTGCAGCGACTGGGGAGCTTCCACGGGTGTCAACTAGCGCAGTTTACGACCGTGCCATTACGTCAATCCCCAAGTCTCTTGATGGCACATGTCTCAAGTACGCAAAATACTCGCTACAGCCAGGCAGTGTGTAAACGACGGTTTCTTGTACCCTATACATTATCTCTGATCACGTTGGACAGCATCGACCCTTCTCTTCTCAGAATTGGGCATCAGCCACGGCAAAGTCGTTCACCGTCAATGCTTCCAACCCACACTCGCGATCCCTCAATTCTTAGTGAACAGGGACAGACATTAAAGATCTTTGGAGCGAACAATTCAGGCTCGGCACGTCCAGTTCCTAGCGTTGGTTTTGGTGGCGTCGTTCTTGTCCGAACAGGAAAGGACAGTTGGAGCGAGGAACCCGTTGCGCGACGTTGACTATTCAAGCAAGACAAGTATACTTCGTCATGTCATCTTCGGGCTTGAGCCCAGAGAGCGAAGAGTACGAAGGTACTTCTCAGTTCAGAGCAACACGATACGAAGAATACGCGCCTCTTTGACACTTGGATCTTTGATGACTGACTCCATCCATCGGGCGCTATTCTGACTCGTCCCTGCCAGCCCTGTCTGCCTTACGCCTTGCTTTCCTTCGTACCCGTAAGTTTAGTTTACGAAGGAACCTTTGAGAGTCGAACCCACCATCGTGTTTCGTTTCGATCAAGTTCGTCCCAAAGAACGTGAATGGGATAATCGGCACAACAATGTGCTGCAGCTTGCGTACCGTTACAGTACGAAGTAGACCACAAAGGGGGGTAAACAAGAGAAAGTGCACTATGTTGCACCATCAATTGATGCAGCTCTACGCATCCTTGCTACGTACTTCCATTTTGCGGAGAAGATATTAATACTTCCTACTGAAACTGAACGCACTGGTCCTTCCCCAACTCCCGTAGCTCGCCAAAGCAGTCAATATATCACATCACGCGAGGGTAAAGCCATCGATCGATATCCCCAAGCTGCACCCGAGCGGCGTTCTCGTCTTGTAATCGGTACAATTATACGAAATATTTCATTAATTTATGTATTGATGTGTTTATAAACTTACTTCGGGGTCCATCATTCATGTGCGGGCCTCAAACCGCCGTCGCGCCGCATCACAGCATCACCACCGTCCCAAGGTGCCACTTTTGGGGGGCAGTGCAACATCACGTTGTCCTCCTTTCGATTCCTTAGAAAATATCAATGTTTCCAGAATTTCGGTTGGCTACGCAAATTAGTACCTCTTTCATCAAGTCCCCTAAAAAGCGGGAGAGTCTCCTTTTCCCCTCCCGGCCGAGATCCGACAACCGCTGCAAAAGTTGAAAACAGGGCGGACCAATATCGCCGACTCGCATCACCCTTCCAAGCTCTTCTCCTCAGGTTTTTTTTCTGCTTCAGCCGGTATTAACCTTTACCTCGCTTTGCGTCGAGGTAGCACAAATCATTAAAAAAACGTCAGATTTTAAACCCATCACATGAATACCGATCCGAATCCTCCGCTCCGGCCTCAGGATCTGGGGCCTCACCTCGCCTCGTCCGTTCTTCCCTCGCCGCCTCAATTTTCCCTCTATGCCTCCTGGCCTCGTTCCTTCTTCGTGAATCCCAAGTTGGAAAATGTCTAAATAATCTTGAAAGTGGATCTTTCAATCGAAAAAAGAGGAAATATCTGGCGCCACGATCAGCCACATTTTTCCAAGCCTTGGCCTGGATTTTTCAGATCTATCTAAATCCCACCAGGGCATTAAACACAGGAAGAGACGAAGGAGCAGGAGAAAAATGCTTAGAGGGATGCGGCCGCTTCGCTGAGAGATCCGCAGGGGTAAGCTTGACTAGTAAAATCAAAAAGTCGCCAGGATCTGCTCAGCTTTGTTAATAGTGCCCCTGCTCAGCCACGAGCCAAGGAATCGCCGACGATCGAGGAGTTTACTAGATTTCAGATGTCCGAGGTTGACTCTCGTGAAAGGGACTTTATAGAATTTACGCGCGTAACCGGGTGTTTGGCTTATTGCTTTCGAGGGTAGTACATATGAATTGCCTGTTCTAGAAGAAGCATACAAGTTCTTCGTAAAAGCAGATGGATGAAATAATGATTTGCTATTGTCTCGAGATTAGAGTCCTGACCGATTTGACCAAACCCCATGCTTAGAGACGGTCCCTGCCTAAACAATAGTTCAAGAGGGGGGTATCAAACGAAACCATGTGCAACAATGAATACAAATATCCTTTTCTTTCCAGTGTCCTTCTCCGACAACAGACCTTATCGTCAACGTCCTGTCCATCCAGGTACACTCAGCGCAGCTCCGGCTCCCGAATAAACTCCGCAGAGAGAGTTATATCCGCCACACTAAGGATCTCCCGATGCTGCCTCCTCCCAGGCCCTACACTCCCCTCCTCATGATCGTGTCCTCGTCGACGAATAGGCGTCTCCGGGTCAATGTCCAACCGTCGCAAAGACCCTCTCAGCCGCCTGCGCGTCGATGACACCGGCGTCTGCACATCGCCGACCACCCATTCACCTAAAGCTCCTCTATCAGGGCCACCATTCGCCACGGCCGTCTCCGTATCCAGAGCAAAGATCTTGATACCGCGTAGATGAGTATCCTTGCCGTTCTGGTGGTTCTCCGTAATGGACATCTGGAGGACCCAGCAGAAGAGCGTGTTGCCGTCGGGACCGCCGCCGACACCGTCGAGAGGGACTTTTTGCCATCCTTTAGGATTGGCGAGATCCATTGCTGCGAATTTTATCATGTTGTTTTCGCTCGTGCCCGATCGGAAGATGATGCGGGTCGGTGTGTAAGATTCGTCCTGGTCGTAGTCGACGTAGAAACGTATCTCGCGAATTCCCACTTTCTTCACGAAGTAAACCGTTAAATTGTGTGGTTGTGTACCGTCGGATCTGCTCGTTTCCCATTTTGCAGTCAGTATCACGCCCGCAAATAGCGCCGCTTGAAGAGAGAGAGAAAGGGAGAGCCAAGGACTGAGCTGGACTTACTGCCAGAATTTCGTCAAATCATCACTTCGTAACTCTTCAACACCGTTGTCTTGCTTGTGCGTGCTCACAGTAAACTTCCCCAGGTTGGAAATCTCCTTGAGCCCGGGCGGATGAGGGTCGAACACAAGACCCTCATCCTCCTCTTCCAACTCTTCGTCAACATCCTCGTCTGCGTCTTGGGTAGACTCGTCGCCTACTTCATATTCGCCGGCTTCGTACTCTTGACCTTCCAAGTCAACATCTTCGTCCACTTCGTATGCGTTTCCAGCGTCGTGATCCAACAAATCCGAGTTCTCCTCCATCACCTCGCTACTATCCATCGCATCGGGCCCTCCTGGAGGATGGAGTTGGATATCGCCCTGGTTCAAAGTCGGACCTATCCAGAAAATTAGTCTGCTTATTCTTTGCCATTTTGATGCTGTTTTCTTCTCTTTGGGGTTAGTAAACTCCTTGGGGCAACCATGTCAACAGCTCTCTTTCCCTCTCCAGGTCTCCTGCTCTCTTACAGGATTAACAAAAATGACCAATACCCACAGTAGTATTTGTTTCACATCCTAGGCCTGGTGGCTAGGGTTGGGGTCTGGGCTGGAGCATCCATATCAGGTAGCTGTAGGTACAGGGAATTACCACTGCCATCCCGCCGATAACCCCTGACAGGGAGCATGTTCTTCCGGGACCAAGGGCGTACCGCAACAGGTGCGACGAAAGGTAAATCATCTTCGGGGTATGAAAACCACACCAAGTCAGAACTTCCGTCAGGACTCTTGACAAGGATACACCGAGGATTGCGGGGGTTGATTTCGATTTGCTTGGGTGGGGGAGAGCCCTCGCTGCCTAGCGCAGGCGCCGGGAGACTAGGAGAAGCAGATCTCCAAGTGCTCATAGAAGGTGTGAGCTGGCCTGGGCCCTCGGCCCAAGACTCTGTCTGAGGCGGCCTAGAGGAAAAGGGAACTTCTCTGTGTGGAAGCTGTATGTCGGACGAAGTGGCATCGCGACGACGCGAAGCAGGAGATCCAAGGCCGCCCCCATCCTGTACTTGACAAGGAACTTGTTCGACCATTGTAATAGATGCTGGAAATCATATACAGTATAACAATGTCTGGGTTGGGTTGGGTTTGTGAAGGGAGGAAAGAAGAACTGGAAAATAAGAGAAAGAAGCAAAGCCTAGAAGGAGAACAGAAACACAATCCTCCAAGAAGAACGGGCGGCGACCCGGCATTCAATGAACCACTGCTCCTTTCTTGAAAGTGATACGTTCAAAATCTGGTGGCGGCCATAGTTTGTGTGAATTTGGTGCCACTTGGCCCCGAAAATAGAGATGTTCACAACCAAGGCGTTGATTGATCCCGATGAAATGCCCACAGGAGAGAAAGAGAGCCGGAGAGCAGGAGAGTAACACACGAACAGCATGCCTTTCCCAGGAGAGTCCCATCTTCCCCAGCTCCACATAGAACAAGACATCTTTTCAGCGAGCTTGGGTTCACGGGGAAAACTTACTGAAGGCATGATTCAGACGAGGGTCCTGGGAGACACTGCGATACCCTCGACGAGGGGCATGGCTCCCAACACCAGGAGGGTAACGATCGGGTGGGAATCGCCCAGGGGGGGTCAGTCCATCCATCTTGAGGAAAGGAAAAGAATAGAATCAGGGTTCCTCGTAGGATCAACGCCCGGAGCCCGGCCTTGACTGAAGTTGCTCTGTGAGAAGAGTGTCGAGAATGATGGAGGACACAAGAAGAATGGGTCTAGAGGTCGGCCCAGAAAGAACAAGTGTTTTATACGAGGGGACGGAAATCTTACATATTCCCTCGCGTAAGATTGGCGTTTCCAAGGGTGTAATTGAAGCACCGAGGAGCACTGTCGATGTCCGCGTCTCGCTCGCTCATGTCGAGATGTATTGAGCGCTGTTGGGCTGGAGTTGTCGCGAGGTCACGTGATCACGAGGACACCAAAGTGCGCGATGAATTGACTTATTTAGCAGCCCCAAGAAACTGTCTCACAGCACCAACCTCTGCAGATTTAGCGGTTCCCGTCCCCACAAATGGGGCTCGTGATACCTGGAAAATCAGACATCCCCCCCCCTCCTCAACTCTATTCTAACTGTTCATCAATGCAGACAGCCTGTCTAAGCTAAAAACAGACCATCGATAGGATGGATAGATCTTTGCCCAAATACCTGCGCTATTAAAGTAAGTGTCACGTCACTTGGCTTTCCCAGTCGCAAGAAGTTGCCGTACCACGGCCTCATGGCCGTTCTTAGAAGCTACATCAAGTGGTGTCTGGCCCCGGCAATCCTCAGCATTCAGGCCAACTTTCCCAGCGTCGAGAAGATGCCGAATGATAGCGACGTCGCCGATCGTGGCAGCATCATGGAGTGGCGTAGCACCGCCCAAGTTCTTGACATCTGGGTCGACCTTGCCAGTTTCGAGAAGGCGTCGAACCATCGCCTCGCGGCCGTTGTAAGCAGCTGCGTGAAGAGGAGTGCGTCCATAGACGCTCTTGGCATCTGGGTTGACCCTACCAGTATCAAGCAGGTGCGGTGCAAGAAATAGTTGAGCTATAGCCTCGTTGCCACGTACAATGGCTTGGTGAAGTACAGTCCGGCCACAGCCGTCCTTAATATCTAGGTCAGCTTCACTGGTACTAGGAAGATGCCGAACTATAGCCTCATGGTTGTTGAAGGCCGCTCGGCTAAGTGGCGCCCAGCCAGTATCAGACCTAATATTTGGGTCGACCCTCCCAGTGTCGAGAAGCTGTCGGACTATCGCCTCATGGCCTTTGTCAACAGCTAGGTAAAGTGGTGTACGGCCACGGCTGTCCCTGGCATCAAGTCGGACCTTGTCAGAAGCCAGAAGGCCTTTCGCTACCAGACCAAGCCCGAAATATGCCGCTAAATGATGTGCCGTCATCTGTTTTGGATAGTCATTACGATACAATGGCAAGCCGCGTGAGACCTTTGGAGCGAAGAGTGCTTGGATCGCCGCCTCCAGGTTTGCTTTCCTCCCTAGGAAGTCCATGACTGCGCGGTACGCCTCGTCGAACTTGGCCGTCCGTTCGGGAAAATTCGGCGCTTTCTCTTCGTTTGTGCCATCGACTTCTTGGGTGGTAGAGAGAGCGTCACTGGCATGATGTCCCCAGTGAGACGCTGCGTATTCGTAGAGGTGGCTCAATTGTAGCCGCTCCTCGAATGAGTAGGGTGCTTGACAAGGCCCGCTCTCGAACGAACGGAATGAGAGGTAAGTGACACAAATGGTCGTAATATATTGCTCTGCTGTTGGAAACCAGTGTTCGTGCGTCCGCTGAAAGTATTCCTGCGTCGTGTAATGCACCAGTCGGATAATGCCGCTTTCCTCATCCACAGCTACCAATCCCGCACACACGGAAACCACGTCTTCGAGCTCGGGCAAGTTGTCTTCTCGAAGATGCGAGTCTCCTAATTCGGTAGCGAGAGCATGCTGAAGTTCGCGTGTTGAGAGTGGCCGCTTTTCAAAGACGATCCACGATAGAGCTTGCTTGGCGAGCTCTTCTTGATCGCCTAGCCGTCCCTCGACGCGACTCATGGCTTCGTGGTAGGCATGATCATATGCTTCTACGCCTCTCTGGAGCTTTTGCAACGCTACTCGAACGGCCCTCGGCGACTTCTTCCCTACTAAAGAGTCTATATAAAGCTGCGCAAGCAGAAACCTAGTGTCGCGTTAGCGTGGCCTCTCTTGGCCCATGGCAGTTTCAAAATTCATACATTCCATCTACTGCCTCCACAATCGCATGCTCGATTTCCTCCTGTAAGCAAGCATCTCGGCGAACAAACCCTGGCAGTCGGAACATCTGTCCAGCGAGATATTTCCGCACATCTTCAGGATTGGCACGAATTTCTAGTGTGGATGCTCTCTCGAACAGTTCCGTAATGTCCGGGATAAACCTTGATGTTACGAACAAGTTTACTTTGCATAGATCCCGCAGGCGAAGCACGCTTCCAAGAAACGGGACCGACTGCCGTCCGAGATATGACACTCGTCCAGGGCGTCAACAATGATAAACGTCCTTGTGTAAGAACTGGCTACTGATTGCAGTGTCCCCGAAAGTTCATCAGTCAACGGCCGCGTCCGCTTGGGGTTGTGTTTGTCATAAAGCGCCTCCAGGGCATCGGGCATCAAGGGCGAGCTCAGTTGCTTTAGTATGTTGCTCAGCAAGTCGTCCAGCCGCTGCTCATCTTGCTGCCTGAAGTTGCAGTAGACGTAAGCAATGCCGACAGTCGGGTTTTCTTGGTACTTGTCAAGGAGATGGCCAACTACAATTGACGTAAGGATGGTTTTTCCTGCGCCTGGGATTCCAGGACAGAAGAGAGTCTTTCCCGGAGTGCCCAGCCACGTTCGGACCATAGACGAGTTAAGTAGCCACTGGCCAGTCCCCGGTTGTTGTCTTCTGAGGTGGTCGTGTTGCTGAAAGGTATAGTCCGTGCTCGCCAGCCAGTCCAGGATCTGGGCATATTGCTCTCTCCGCTCTCGAACATCCTGACGCGTATGCAACCCGTCCACTGTGTCTTTCGTGGCCACGGCAACTTTCCTTCTCCAGTAAGTTTACTGTAATTACGTGGGAGTCTGCAATGAAATCATTCACGGTACCTTGTCAAGCTTCCAAGGAATGCGTTTAGGAAGGTGACGTTGGATGCCATTCGTAGACGAAGCTGCTGGACGTCTTTTGGGTCCCAGGTCAATCTCTTCCACGCTCTCCGCGCTTTATCGGCGCTACTCTTTGAACTTGAAGGGTCAAGGCAGGCGTTCTCGTCCACCATCTTGCCGACGTCGAGAACGACATTGTCACATTCGTCGAGGATGGGCACCAGGGCTTTCTTTTGCCACTCCGGGAGGTCATGCTGGGGAAGAAGGTCCTTGATGTTTGCGAGGACGCTCGCAAGGCTCGAGACTCTACCCGCAAATCTTTAGCAACTTGGTCAATTATCCATTTACGCTGACAGAGGTACAGAGGAAGCCGGCAACGCACTCGCTCGAGACTGCTCTCAACTGGCGAGGCGCATCAGCGAATCGGTCACGGAGCTTGTTTGCCCTTTCGAGCAGAGTTATAACGTTGCTCCCTCCGAAGCCAAAGCTCATTCTGGCCTGTGAAACCTTAAGCTGTTTTTCTAACCTTGCGGTGCCCAAGCCGACAATGGAGTCTGGCCTCAGTCAAAGTTGCTTCAATTGCTTTTGGCGATATTCAAGGAGTTGTGTTGAACAACTGATCCCTTGAACAATTGAAGTACTTCGTACTTTGGTACCTTTGTACCTTCACACAGTTTGAGCCACGAGCCAAAATGCACAGTGTTGAGCTAAGCTTAAAGTGACTTCGAAGTACCGAGGTACTTATACTTATTATTGTAGATCCTGCAGCGCGGCTCTGGCCTCAAGTTCGACATTGCGCATTGTACATTGTACAAGATCTTACCTTGAGTCACCGGATTTGAGACGATCAAAGCGACAAATTGGAATCGACAACGTTTTGGGGCCTTTGGGGTAACAAAGTACTTTGATGAGGGTACGAAGTACCTCAGTACAGATTCTTTTGCATCTTCACAATCCCAAAAGTTGCTGGACCCAAACTTCATCAGCCGCATCGGCATCGCCCTTTGACCAGCCAGACCAGACCGTTCTAAAACTAGGCACACTGCCAATATTGACATTATCATCGGCCTTGCATTCCACGTTCCATGTTCCATGTTCCACCCCTCCTCGGAAACCCATGCAGCCCCGCGGTTAGAGCATGCCGCGATCCAGCTGAGCCTAAGCGCCTCTTCGAGACCTTCGTACACCGCATCTCTCCCTTAGAGTCTCGAGACTGCTGGAAAGCCAAACACTCGAGGGTTCCACCTTTCCCAAATTAGCAGGACCCTGCCCAATTCAGCATCTCTTCCATCTCCAGAGTCGCCTAAGTCCATCTTGAGCCCAAGCCACCAAGTCAGGCATATCTCACTCTCCCTTCATGCTCCTCCCTCATTGAGAAAGTACGAAGTACTTGTACGCCAGAGCAGATATCGTGGTGCGGTCTGTCACATCAATACATCAATACATCAATGGTACTGTATGAGAGGCAACCGAGATCGACCTGCCCTGCCGACCCAGGATCCAGAGTTCTGACAGACTTTGATATTTGATGCCCCCAGCGAGTCAGATTTTGCTCTTTCATCATCCACCAGACCCACGAATATCGGTTTTAATATCTAGTCTGCTGGAAATGGGACACAACGAACAACGAAACTAAGACCGGGAACTGACCTGCTGCCCCTCGACTGCGAAGTACTTGTTCTTCGTTCTGGATTGCCCAGACCTATTCGACCTACCCCTCTCCACGAAGCCTTTCGCCTTCGCTCAAATCTTCCTGGCCAAACTAACATTTCATCACATCAGCCTCTGCTTCTATTTCTGATAGCCTTTCACTATCATTCCACCCCACATCTTACTCTCATCCGCGGCTCCATCATAGCTTTCCCGCCCTGTTAACCCCATTTCTCTGCTCGTTTCCTCTCCCTGCTCCATTTCCATCTTGAGGCGCCTCCTACCAAGGAGACCCCCCTCTTGTAAGCGCCGACTCGACGGACTTGCTTTTGGCTTTTGCGAAATCGGAGGTCTTTGTCTAGATGTCCCTTTTGCCTCACATGAGAGTCTCGCGTTTCTGTGCTACCCACGAACAACCTATTGATTAGCCTCGACTTGATCCTGCGCCAGCAACCAGCCTTGCTTTTTCTTCATTTTTTTTTTCTAGATTTCTTCTTCTTCTTTTCGACGGACGGATACAGTCCCGCATACCGCGCGGTCATCTTGGCCAGCCAGCCATCCTATCCTTTCCCACGCCCGACGCCTTCCGGGATACAGGCGTCTGCCGTTATCATCGGTCCCATTCCGGATGGAGAATTCCCCGGATAGCATCTCCTTCACTTTCCCGGACTCCCACGGCCCTTCGACCCATGTCAAGAATGAGCCGCAACACCATCATAACCCCGAAACAACCATGGACACCTCGGGTCCAGAGTCTCATGGCCAGAGGCGCCGAGCTCACAAGAAGCCGCGCTCAGTCGCAGATATGACCCATGAGCAACGCGAAAGGAAAAGAGAGAACGGTAAATACTACTTCCTTTCTCCGCTAGCGCAATTGCCACGTCCCCTTCACCTATCTCCTCAACCTTCCCACTGTTTGTGTCAAGCCTAGATATGTCAAAACGCTAGGCGCAGCTCATGCGCCGGTTCCCACCACGTCTCATGTTCGCGTTTGGGCCATTTCGGGTATGAAGCTACAGCTCGCTGACCATTTTCCTGTGCCAATTAACCCAAACAGACAGGATAGCACAGCGCGCGGTTCGGGAAAAGACTAAGCAAAGGATAGCCCACCTCGAAGGCGTTATTAGACAGCTCAAAAGCTCAGACCATAACAAAGAGCTCCAAGCCGCTATCCAGGCCAAGGAAGCTGTCGAAGCCGAGAATGCAGACATCAAGAGGCAGCTAGCTGGTATTACTGCTACTTTGCAACAGATAATCTCTCCCCGGCACGGAAACGAAGGTGAACACGCATATGCGTCACCGGCTAGCCATGCCGGCCTACCTTCACACGCCTTACCCCCGCCGGCACCGTCCACGTGCACAATCGCCTCGACACCACCCAGTATCATGTCACCAATTGGTAGGACCGAGGCCCTCACTTCCCATCTGCTACCACCACTGCAACAGCCCGGCAACCACCACACCGCCATCAATCAGCATACGCAGACTCTGATACGTCAAAGAGAAGACGTGCAACGCGGGCTGGAAGCCGGCCAAAATCGCTTCGATCTCAGTTTCCTCATCTCGCGGCCTGGTAGCGTCCCTGAGTTCTTGTCTATTAGTGGAGACAAGGCCAATGGCTACGGCGCTTTCATCGATGCGCAAGGCTCCCAACAGAGCCCAATCCACCACCAAGTGCCGCGGCCTCTTGCTATGCAGCAACCTGTAGGTCAAAACCAGAGGTACCCTGGGCCGCCAATGCCAATATCGAACAGCGCTGCAATATCACGCCCTTATGCTCCATCTGGCGACAAATACCGTCTGCCCGAGCCGGAACTACCCCTCTATGCGACGCCAGTCAAGAACAATGAAACATCTTGCTTGCTCGACGACATTTTACTCAAGTTCCTCAGGGAACGTCACGACCTTCTTGCGCAAGGGCAGCCTCGCGCAGAAGTCGTTGGCCCCAAATATCCGTCCGTCTCGTCTCTTCTCAATAAGGACAACACCACAGGAGCGCACCCTCTTTCCAGCCTATTCACGGCCATTATAGGCACCTTCCCCGACCTTAGCAGGCTCCCCGAGCAGCTAGGAGTTATATATATGATGTTCCTCCTCATGCGCTGGCAGGTTGAGCCTTCCAAGGAGAACTACGAGCACCTCCCCCCCTGGCTGAGGCCCCTGCCCATCCAGCTCACGATGCCGCACCCCGCCTGGCTCGACCACATGCCCTGGCCGCTCATGCGAGAGCGCGTGATTAAGAATTACCGAAACTACCCCCTTGAAAACTTCTTTATCCCGTATACGTCGACGTTATGGTGCCACTGGCCGTACGACGATCTGTACGCCTTGATTCGGAATCCTGATACGGACGAGATAACTATAAACCCTGTGTTCGACCAGCATATCCGGAATTTGGATAATTGGTCTCTAGGGGAGGCGTTTAAGAAGAAGTTTCCTGAGTTGACGGATACGTATACATATCGAAACGATCCGAGGCGCGCGTGATGTGACAGGTCTCATTCTTGATCTTGTTATACCCCCCGAATATAGGGCTACCGTGTCTACTCCGTATATGAATGGTGTTTAGCATTTAGACCGCATGTAGGGTCTGCATGCGATGAGGACAGCTGATATCGGGGTAGTTTCGAATACGAGGGGAGGGAAGAGGCCATGTGATCTTAGTCGCCTCGTATATATGCACGTATATGCCGTTGGTTTGGTAAAAAGGCGTTTCTTCTGCGGTTGGCCGGCATACCCAAGGCTTTGGGACGCCATGTAATGGTATTCTTCTCTCGCATCGTGCATCGATAGGATGGTGGGATGAACTGGATTGGAAGGTATGGGTAAAGGGTAGGGATATATTTATGTAAAAATAGAGAGGAGCTGTTCTTTTCCGCCTTTTTTTTCCTCCTCCTTGGATCGTCCAATATACCCTTCCAGAGTCTTATCATTGTTGGGTTTTCCCTCGACGACGGAATAAGCGATTCCTCTCCACCTCCGAAAACACGAATGCCAAATTTGTTCTACTACAAGCGTGTTTCCATTGTTCACTATCTATTTTCCTAAGGGTATATCAAATTCATAACTCGTAGCCTTCATGCCCGCAAAGCCCGCAACATCCCCCTCTATAAGTAACAAGAAGAAAAAGAGGGAAAAATCCAAATTCCTTACTCTTCACCCTCACCCGCACCGCAAGAAAACTTCAAAACCCCTCCTCCTGCCCCAACAAGCACACTGGGCATCTCCTCCCCCCTCACCCTCCCAACCCTCAAACACCTCACAGGCTCCCTCTCCCCGGCCCCCAAAGGAAGAAATCCGACCCTCCGCCCCGAAGCGGCCGAATACACACCGACCTGTCCATCGTCATGCGCGGCGACAATGACCCCTGCTCCCCCACCATCGCCCCCAGGATCGACGTCCCATCCGATCCTCAACCGAACCTCATTCTTATACGCCGGAAACGGAAGATACGGCAGCGCCTCGGTCCGAGGATAGCGACCCATCCACCGCCGGTCGTATATCGCCATTTTACTCCTCAACCCGGCGACCACGATACGATAGGGGTTCCCGTCGGGCGCGATGCGTAAATGCGTCACGGGGCTTCCGTGGGAGAAACTCGGCGGCGGGGCGTGCGTGGCGGGGCCGACGCGCATGTCGGCTAGTGTTACTATACCGCGTCTGCCGGCCGCTAGGAGGAGGCTGGGGTCGGACGGGTGGCAGTCCGTGGTGAAGATGTCGCCGGAGGAGCGGGTGGGGTGGACCCAGGATGTGTCGCCCGTTGAGTGGAGGGCGAGGACGCCGGCGTTTGTGCCGGCGAAGCAGAAGAGGTTGGGGTGTTGGGGGAGGGCGGGGGAGGCTGTGTGGGAGGAGAGGTGGTTCGGAGGCGTTCCTTGCGGAAGTCTTGCGAGGCATGCTCCGGTGACTGCGTGAGAGTCAGAAAATATGTGTAGGAAGAGCCTGGAAGCCGAAGGGGAGGGAGGGAGGGAACTTTACCTCGACGTATGCCTCTTAGAAAACGGTCGCCGGGGTAGGAGATGGGTTTTAACCAGGTGAACGACATGAAGGCTGCGGGGTTGGATAGGCCGGCCATGAAGATGACTTGGTGTGTGGGATTGTAGCCAATGGAGGCGAATTCAGGGACGATGAGGGATCGGATTCCACCCGGAGGGATGAGCCAGCCGCCGTTTCTTGAAGAATCCCAACATACTCTGTCCAATGGGTATTTGTTAGTTTAAGAAAAACCGAGGTCCGCCAACTGGGATATATCCAAGAGAACAACATACAGGCCAGTCTCATCTGTCGGTATATACTGCCCACACATCATCATCCTGCCCTGATCCACCAGTTGTCCTACTCACACGCGCACTCGTCAGCTCACCTCAAAACTATCCTCACTCAACCCATCGATCAAACTCACCAGCATAAATCCCCGGCAATCCATCCCCATCCCCCCAATCCACCGCAAAACTCCCCACCAAATCCCCTCCCCAACCAACCCTCGCCCCTCCCAGTCCCGCTTCCCCCATCCCCCTCAACCCACTACCGTACACCCAAGCCCTCACATCACCCTCCTCGACCACGCCTTTCCTCCCCGAGCACTCAACCCTCAGCACCGTCCCGGCCAGGCTCTGCTTCCCGAAGACCCCACCCCCTCTCCGCGTAATCCTAGCCGGCTTGACCTTCCCCGCCGACGTGACTCGCGCCCGCGCCTCGGCATTTCGCCGTTTCCGTTCGGCTTTCTCTTTGCGTTTAAGTTTTTTGACGTTGTCGGAGGACCAGGGGGCGTTAACGGGCGCTGTGGCTCGGCTTTCTATTTTGAAATATTTGCCCTTGGCCTCGTCTGTAAGATGGGATCGGGAATTTATCTTAGCAAAGCGGGCTTGAGTTAGACAGGGATGATGGTTGGCTGTTCCCTACCGTAGTAGAAGCCGGGGATCTCGCGGGGAGGCATATTCCCAATTAAGGTAAATTAACCTTGGGCGCTGTCTAATATCAGCGCTGCCCTTTGATATAAGTTAGGAATGTGTTGTTCTCATGGATGGATGATGAAACGAGGGAGAGTCGGTCAAAGACGAAAGATTGATGGTTTCAATTGAATAGAGGCTCAACTGAGGACTCGATTAATGCTGACTACAATTGTACTTACAGACAGAAAAAAAAAATACAATGTACAAATTCAAGCTGCAGAATCATTCAGAAGGACATGCAAGAAATGCTCCTTCCTGAGAATGCATCATCAATTTCATTGAAAACACCCAACTTTTGATTGTCTATAAACGATTATGTACTCTATGAAAGCCGAGAGCGATCAATTGAAACATCTCGGCGACACAGGGGACAGCCAACTTTTTTTTAATTTTTTGTTTTATTTTTCTTCTTCATTAACTTCTTTGTGTTCATCAGGGTCCAACATGCCCCCTGGTTTCTATCAACTAGCTCCATGTGTATTACCGCAGGGTAAAAGACATTGAAACATGCCAAAAAAAATTTGTAACAGAGAAAAAAGTTTTAGCCTAGTAAATAGGCAAGTCTATCATAGAGCACCAATGTCCAGATGCCAAATCCACTTGCAAATCCAAGCTTCAAAAACACCTAGCCACAGTACCCCAAGAGTTATAACATTGTGTGTGATGTGGTTCGGAGAGAAGTCCTGATGTCAACACTTGTAGAAGAACTGCGAGTGATGATATTTCCTTGTTCCACCGGGCCCCCTCTTTCCCACATCTGGTATCCTGTGTCGCGCACTTAGGCGGACTTCTCGTGCTGGGTCGAGACGCGCTGGAGGGAGACAACTACAAAGGAGAGAAAAAGACAGGTTAGTGAAATGGCCTTTCATCTTTTCAAGATACTAAAGCAAGAAAGGAAAGTAAACTTACCAAAGTCCTCAAGGGATCGCTGCTTTTGGCTGCCCTTGATAGACTTGCCGTGCATGAGGTTGTCGAAGCCCTGGCTGCCCTGGAGGAGGTAGTAGACACCACCCATGACACAGAAGACACCGGCCGAGTAGATCCAGATACGGACAACGGCGACAATGGAGGTGTCGCTGTGCTCGAACCAACCCCAGATGGTGAAGCAGGTGGCGATGATGTCGACAACGAGAATGGCACCGGTGAGCTGCCAAGAGGGGAGGGACGACCAGAAGGGACCGTTGGCACGGGTGATGAAAATGAGCCAGTTCTCAGTGAGGGAGATCTCGAGGAAGAGAACGGCATCCATGTTACCGAAGTTCTGGACGATACCACCGTTGGGAGTGCCGGCAGCGTACATGGTGGTAAGGACAATCCAGGTACCGACGGCGAGGACAACACCGAGAAGGACGGACATACCCCAGAGCTTGGGAAGGTTCCACTTGACGGGAGTCGACGAGTAGGGAGCGTTGTCGTAGGCGATGGCCAGGGTGGCAATATCGGCGAAAATGGCGATGAAGACAACAAGGTTAATGTTGAGCGACCTGTTCAAGATGACGATCCAGAGGCCAAGGAAGATCTCAAGATGGATGGACAAGGCGATACGGTAAACGACGTAAGCGTACATACGGTGGAAAATCTGGCGAGAAGTCTTGAGAGCGTCGATAATGGCACCGAGACCGGGGGCAAGGAACACAATATCGGCAGCAGATCGGGCAGCGTCAGAGGCACCCTCGACAGCAATACCAGTATCGGCCTTCTTGAGAGAGGGAGCATCGTTGACACCGTCACCAGTCATGGCAACGAGGTAACCACGCTGCTGAAGAATCTCGACGACATTGTACTTGTGCTGGGGGAAGACCTCGGCGAAACCATCGGCAGCCTCGACGAAATCGTAGACCTCAGAACCGGGCATGTCACCACCACCACCGAGACCGAGACGCTCAGCATTGTAGACGTTGGTGCCGAGACCGAGCTGGCGAGAGGTTTCACGGGCAATACCGACGGCATCACCAGTCAACATCTTGATGGAGAGACCAAGGCGCTTGGCTTCGTTAATGGTGCGGGCGGTATCGTGACGAGGGGGGTCAGAGCAGGGCATAATGCCGAGAATCTCCCAAGAGCCCTCACCTCGCTTGCGGGCGACACCAAGAGAACGGAAACCACGGGTGGCGAACTCGGCGACCTTGTTCTTGTAGGCCTGGTCGACCTCCTCGGGGATGGGGTGGTCCTTCTCGACCGTGGAAAGAACGAAGAGGGGGGCACCCTTGACACAGGTGATGCGCTCGCCCTGAGGAGACTCGACAACGGCGGTAACCTTCTTGGAGACGGGATCGAAGGGGTGGAACTCAAGCACCTTGTACTTGCTGAGAACGCTCTTGGCACGGGGGTAGTAGCGGAGGGACTTGAGGAAAGCCTTGTCGATGGCGTCAATACCCTTCTTCTTGCGGGAAGCGGCCAAGCAGGCAGTCAACATGAGGTCATCGGGGTCAACACCGGCGACGGTGTAGGGCTCCGAGAGCGAAAGCTTGTTCTTGGTGAGGGTACCAGTCTTGTCAGAGCAGAGAATCTCGACACCGGCAAGCGACTCAATGGCAGAGAGCTTCTGGACGATAGCCTTCTTCTTGGCGAGATAGGCAGCACCGACAGCCATGGTGGTGGTAACGACGGCGGGAAGACCGACGGGGACACCAATGATAGTGATGGCAAGGGTGAACTCAAGAATGGGGACAATGCCGACGGATCGGTAGAACGAGGCAACCCAGACCATCAAGTTGGTCAAGATGACAAGAATGAGGAGCACGGTACCAATGCCGTTGAGAACCTCAGTGAAGTGACCAGTACCGGCAGAAGCGCGAGAGACAAGGGCGGCGGCGCGACCAACGAAAGTGCTGTCACCAGTGGCGGTAACGACGATGAAGGCCTCACCACGCTTGACGGCGGAAGAAGCATAGCAGGAGTCACCATTGTGCTTGTCGACGGCGAGAGATTCACCAGTAATGGCGGACTGATCAACCTGGAGGAAGGCCTCCTGGGTGACGATGCGACCATCAGCGGGGATAATAGTACCCTCTGCAAGCATACACACGTTAGCATATGTACCGAATCACGTGACACGCAGAAGACGCGTTTCGACTGTTCCGTTTCGTTTCGTTTTGTTTTGGGTTTGGTTCGGGCGCCATCATCTGATGTTTGAAACTTACCTTCAACCTGGAGAATATCACCGGGAACAACCTCGGGAGCCTCGACTTCCTTGAGGGTACCGTCACGGAGAACAACAGCCTTCAAGGCAAGAGTCTTCTTGAGTTCCTCGACAATAGAACCAGCCTGGAATTCCTGGACGAAACCAACAGCGGCGTTGAGCAGGAGAAGACCGCAAATGACACCAAAATCGACCCAGTCCTGAAGACCGGCGGCAAGAACGGCGGCAGCCTCCATGACGAATTGGACGGGGCCGACGAAGTAGCTGAGGAACTTGAGAACAAGGTTTTCCTGTAGAGAGAGAAAATGTGAGCAAATCTTACTCTTCCAACACCAATTGCAGCCCATACCCCTCATCGAGGCAATGAGGTGCGCGTGTGCCACGATATGAGTGGGTTGGAAGGGATGAGGGATTAGTTGGAAGACTACATACACGCTCCTCCTTCATGGCGTTGAGACCGTACTTTCGTCGGCGGGCAAGAACCTCTTCGTTGGTGAGACCGGTAACGGTGGAGGTCTGAAGCATCTCTTCGGGGACCTGGCGGACGTTGCCGTGGCCATCCTCCTCACCCTCCTCCTCAAGATCGTGTCCGTCCTGAGACTCGAGCTCGTCGATCAGAGCATCGATATCCTCATCCTCGTCGTCGTCGGCACCGGGGTGGGGGGGATTGATGGGCTTCACATCCCGCTTCTCGTCGTAGCCCGAAGGCTGCGCCGAGGCCGAAGAAACATCAGCCATGGCGATTGAAAATGTTGTTCGGTAAAGTCAACAATTGACTGAAGCTTCCAACGACCAATTACTCTCTTAAGAGGGTTGAACCTTTCCTCCCTTCTCCCTTTTTTCCAATTCGAGTTGGCGATCGAGGAAAATGGAAATGGATGTAGGAAATGAAAAATTCAGACACGAGTGAGACGCGTGTGAGAATTTATATTTCGAAGGTTGTGAGGGGGAAGAAAAAATGTGGGTTGAGGGGAGATGGGTCTTAAGAGGTGGCGCGAGGAATTTTCCTAAAACAGGACGAGGGAAGGAAGGCGAGCCTTCAAAGACACCACCACACGAAACTTGAGGGCCAATTTTTAAGCGCAAACTGGAAACCTTCGTGGGTGATGAAAAAGGAAAAGAGGAGAGAGGAGGGAGGCTTTTGGGAAGAGGTGAGGGAGACGCCCGCGATTATATGAGGGAAAGCTCTTGCCCCAATTCAATTGAAAGGAACCTTGCGCCAGTACCTTAGCACCAGTACCTCGTAGCTCCAGTTCCGGTTCGAGTAACGGTACGTACCTGCGAGAAAACTAGGACCGGGAGGAGCGGGGGGGAGGGGCGTGTGTGATGTGGAGATCAATTGATGTGGTGGAAGTGGAGGGGGCGTGTGCCAGCGGTGGCGACCATCTTTTTGCCGACCGGGGCGCAAAGCTCTGAGATGCCAGCCAATCCGAACCCCGGCCTTCCTCGCCTGCACCGAGGGTCAAGAAACGAGGGAAAAAAAGAAGAGAAAAAGAGAAAAAAGAAAAACAAAAAATACTTCGTACTTCACAGTTCGCACCTCATCCCAGATCCACGCTGGACCTGACCTGCATCCCATGTGGGAAACGGCGTGTCCACTGTCGCTCTAAGACGGAATACGGAGTACGCTACTGACTTTCGTCACTTTCCTCGCTCTTTGTGCACACTACGAACTCCGGATCGGCACATTTGATCCGTCCTCCAGGCTTCTACGATTGAGGTCATTGAGGTGCGAGTACACCGCCGCAAGTATCAGAGTTCATTAGGCACTGTGTTGTCTGCCTCTCAAGTTTCATTCAAGGAAATTTTCAATGTTCCACACTTCTTTTTTTTTTCGGCGATAACGGTATCATTGATCAATTCTTCTGCTCAAAGCTTCGGTACGTAGCGAGAATGAAGGTGACGGTCATCCCGAATAAGCTCCTTCCTTTCATCCTTCCCACCACATCAGACACATCGTACAGCAGAGTCGAATCCAGTTTCCAGTAGTCACTATCCCGTAGCTCAATGAGTGACAGGACAGGAAGCTCGACCTGCAGGCTGGTGGAGGGCACAGTGTGCGGTTCTAGTGATATTTCGCGTCTAATTACGGCGGTCAGTGTACTACGAAGGAACACTGATTGACCTATAACCCACATCTACTATAGTGCACAAGCAGCCTAGTATTTGGGAGCTTCGGTTACTTTCGATTGCAATTGATGAGATCCCCTCCTACGTTGTACCCCAGAATCACCCTTGTTGATGAGCCAGAATGTCTGTTCCAACGCGTTGTAAGAACACCACGAAGTCCGGAATTTTGCAAAGGCACGGCCGAGAGTTCAATTGCGCGATCCCATACGAAGTTCGCAGTTCAATTGCGAAAACGGAGAAAGACGGAGAAAGCGATCGATAAGGCCGAAAAAAAAAAAAAAAAAAAAAAAAAAAAAAAACAAGAAAAATCTTTCAACAGGTCATGGTGTGGGTGGTACAGATCTCTACCTCGCTCACAGCTTCCTGAATTGTCAGGCTCGTACTTCATAGGAGATTGGTAGAGATCATCAGGTACACCAGTGCTGTCAAGACGGAGCAGACCGGGCTGTTGGAGCAAGCAAGATCCAATCAGGTCCAATCACATCTGCAAATAGGAAGTGGTGTATTATTGCTCACTCATACGAAAGTATTATTGCGCTGGAGCAACGCCGCGGGAGAGACATCGAGAGATGCCCTCTTCCTATTGATCAATTGATAGCTGTTTTCGCGCATACTGTGTGCAGGCACGGTGCCGAACCAAGTCCCAGATTGTCCCAGTGTCCCAGTCCCAAGTCGCCTTGCCTGAAAGCGGCAATCAAAGGATGTAAACAAAAGAAACATTTTCGCTCTTCCGCGTCGCCCGTGCCCCCCACTCTGCAACTCTGCATCCATCTGCAACCCCCAATTTCGATGGAGGGATTGATGGCTTGAACCCCAGAATGGCTCGCTCCCATGCCTGTCGTTCTCCCCCAATTCTCTCTTCTGCCGCTGATGTTCAAATCTAGGTATAATTGTAGCTTGGGCTTGGCAATGCGCTCTCATGACCACGAATCGGGGCAGCGGAGTATACTGAGAAGGAAAGGCGTGGTAATAATCCTTGGCCTTCGGGCATATCTGCAAGGCAGTTCGCGACAATCGACTGAGCTTTCGACCCCGTACGAAGTAAGGTTAGACCTGGTAATTCCTTATCCGCGCATTGGACTAGCAGATTACTGCTAATAGTGCCAGGCAAACTGCAGGCACACATCAATTGATCTCATTAAGATGGGGATGTGGGCATTCGTATACAGTGTAAAAGTACTTCATACTTTGGACGCGGTGACATCCGAGTGTGTGAGTGTGAAGTGTACTTCCGTTCACCACGGTGACCACAAAGGACGAAAAGGGCGCTGGAGGATATCATTGATCCAGGACAGCAATTGAATTTTGCGCGATTTTCCCTCGCTCGCACATGCCGCCGATGCTCCAATTGACGGCTCCTACGAAGTACGACGCTAAAGTAGTAAAACTGGACGGGTACGGTCCGGGTACGAAAAGTACAGACGTGGTGCACTTATCGATTGATGGGAAAGCTACCAAGAGTGACGTATTGTACATGGTCTGTAAATACTGTGGAGGAAGCCAGGCAACTCGAGGTGGGTCTGTTATATCCCTGGTCCTGGCCCTGGTCCTTTCGCTGGGGTGGACTGGTGGTCAATGTCCTGTCAGGCCGAGAGCGCCGCAACAATGACGACACTGGTCATACTGTCGTCGGCATTCTGTGTCCTTGGCTAAATCCTGCTTGGTCCGGGCGGCCTTCAGTCGGGGAAGCGTGGAAAAAGCTTTCAACATGATGTTCTAGCGGTCAGGAAGGAAACTGTGTGGATGACTAGAATAACCTAATTACCACCCTCAAAGGGGAAAAAATTCGTAACCGTGTAACCCAAAAAGAAAAGAAAAAGAAGGAACGAAGAAAAATTGTACTCCGTACTAATCGAGCCAATTGCCACGGGACTCGAACTCCCTGTCGGAAGTCTGACCGAGAGGGAGCAACAATGCAGAAGCTCTTCGCCGCCGGCCTTTTGGCCACCTTCTCCGATGACTCTACAGGGCATAATGGTACTGCGCTCCATACGAAGTGCGGAGCTGCGCCGGGGAGCCTCGGTGATTTAATTGAATCGTCAAACGGCGTCCAAGGGTTTCGGTATGACAAGGGGAGGTTGAGCCCAGGCGGAGCCGCCGGTGTTCGTTTGCCCATTTCGTCACCTCGGGATGTTTATGGGCCTGGTCTCATTCAACAGAGCCCTGTGCTGGAGACTCCAAGACGCTTCGCTAACCCCGACTATGACGCCCTCCCCTGTCTTCACCCTTGCCTTGCTCAACTCTACGATAGTAGTCCATACCTGAACAACAGAGGTGGTATTACGAAGTATTACTTCACAGTAATTCTCTCTCGATATGAGGCCCGCCAACCGGACCATCAGAACCGTGGATGAGCGTTGTTAGCCTACGCTGTTGCTCGACTTGCCTTTCCAGGCCCAAGCGCATGCTCCAATCCTATGCCGGTGTTTGAATGGCTCGGTCTATTTTGGCTCGACTGTCCCACGTTTTCCATTCCTGGTCCAGCCAATCGCCTAGAGGCAGGCTGCCCCATTTTTTTCCATGTTCCATCGCTCATCATTGATCAACCAAACGACGAAAGTATGTCGCGCATCCTTGTACTCCGTGTTCCGCACCGTGACGTTGGTGGGAGACGCCCTTACCATCCTGGCCATCCATGACCTAACAACGGGTCCGAGCTTTTGGGGAAACACATGCGCGATAAAAGGTCCAAGGCTTGAAATGTATAACGGCGTCGCGCAGCTACCCCAGAGTGGTGGTGAGCTACCACAGCTCTACATCTCGCCCCCATGACCTTTGAACTGGACTCTGGTCCTCGGATTTGGAGCTCCTATACCGAGTACAGTGTCGAATGAAGCGGGTTTATCTCCTCGCTTCCCTTCGCACGAAATTCCAATTGAGACCCTCAAAAAAGGCAGCATTATCGAAGAGCCTTTTCTGCATTCGAAGACGCATATTTTCCTAAGGAATTGAGCGGTCATTCCGGACCTGTAAAAGAGCTGTAAAATAGCTCAATTCGAGACCCCCGGTTCTTTTTCTTTGCCTCGCTAGCGAGCTGGCCAGCGGAGCCTTTCGATGCACCCCGCGGAAATGGCCTCTCTCACTACTACTCTATACGCCACTTTGTTGAGGAGCGGCATGCGTAGGGAGTGGGAGAAACATGGGCAGGATCCGCTACATGCGTAGTGTATACTACAAGCCGCCGCCTTCTTCAATGGTAACAAGTCCATCGGATCGGGTTTAGATGCCCATCTACTTACATCAATGATATATGTAGATTCTGTATTGGATGATGAGGGCCGAGACTCTGATTCAGATCTTCATCAAATTGCTTTGTTCTATCATCACGGAGAAAGCTCGTTATTCATTTTGGAAATGTCGAGCCTCCGGAAGCTAACCTGCTCCTCGACTGCCAACTATATGAGAGCATAGCAGATGCCTGAATGTTCACTTCTTCATACATCGTGTACTCGACTCGACGGCATGTCCAGTTCATTAGTCATGGATAGACTTAAAACCCTTCAAATGTTCTCACTAAGTTCTTTCAGAGCGGGAATTCCATGCGAGACGCACAGAAAGAAGCGGACACTGGTCCTGCATCGGAAATGGCGGGGTGAAAAGTAAGAGCG